TGACAAAGCTTGCTTCTCCCCAGGACTGCCAGAGCTCAGGAAGGTCTTCAGGCCATTTTTCGCAGTCTTTACATGGATGGATGTTTTCAGTTTGCAACACTTTATGGAGAAATTACTATATTAAGTACCATGCACAGTTAGAGTAGTTGCCAACTTCAAATGAATCCATCTCCTCAGTTCTTGCCTTTCAAAATTCAAAGACACCGTGTGGCAAACATTTAGAGAAATCAGTAACAGTGGAAACGTGAGCTGCAGGAATGAATGGCCATCAGTGTTACCAAAATGAAAGATAACTTTCAGAGTCAGCGTTTAAAAATCCAATTCCTAGTTTATTCATCAAATGCCTAGATCACAGTGTATCTTAACCTACCCACTGATAAATGCCTTTTGAGAAACAGAGAATACAATTTTTAAAAACCTCATCCAAGACATATTTTTCTCTTAAAAGACAAATTCGGGACACAGTGAACTGGATTTTCAGTGAGCAAATGTTGGTTTACTACATCAACCTTTTCCGGGATGCTTTTTGGCCCAATGGGAAGCTGGCGCCGCCAAAAGCAACCCCACGCCAAGAGCAAAGCCGAGCTCACAGCCAGGAAACAAAGCAGAGGGCACAGCAGAAGCTGCTCGAGAACATTCCAGGTGAGGCCCGTGTTCTGCTCCTGAAAGTCGGACAGAAAAGGGAGTGTCGTCAGCCCCACTAAGGCATCTGTCACTTAGGAAACATTATTTACAGTGAAAAAAAGTGATTGTACCTTTTTCTTTCAAATCATGTCTTGTCCCTTGCTAATAAATTATACTGAGAGTCCCCAAAAGAACAGTACTGGTTATAATTTCACTAGAGCAATGTTTTAGACAACAAAATTTTATACTTTAAAAATCCGTTTTGAGAGCTATGGTTTTAATTGGGGTATTAAAATTATAGTATGTATAAATGTCTTATATCAAAAAACTATTCTTCCCTGAAACACTGGAAAGAACCCACCCCTCACGTTCCTCGGTGCCTTTATGTGCTGTGTGTGCACAGGGCGTGGCCTGTCACTGAAGGTCTGTGCATGGTGCACTTGTATCAGTAGCAGCTCGGAATATAAACTTAATTTTTCAGATATGCTTCAGAGCCTTGTTGGACAGCAAAATGCCCGTTACGGTATAATAAAAATATTCAATGCACTTCAAGAAACGAGAGCCAATAAGCACCTGTTATATGTGAGTAAAGCCTCCCAGAGGAGTCAGTTTCTTCAGTTGTTCATTTCTGTTCACATATGGGGGTAGATTTTAATTCTTTATACTCGTAATCATTTTTATTACTTATAACTCTGAACCCATTTTCTCTGATTTATTTTTGTCTGTTCAATTTGATTAAAAAAAAAAAATACTCCCAGTAGATGCCACCTCCTCTTCCTAGCCTGCTGTAGTTTCTGTCTTGTGCGGTAACATCTCTGCCTGACTGCTTCACTTTCTTATTTCAACAAAGCAAACTGTTTCCTAGCTGTCTGTCTTATAATAGTGAGCAATATTAAATACCCCTGATGGTCTGATGGGTCTGGTTAATGGCCCATGAAATAAATCAGTCTAAATGGAGTTTATAGAATACGGATTCCTTTGGAGAGTAACTTGTTCACTGAGAATCATCTCAGGCTTAAAATTAGATTTTAGTCTTAGATGTAGATATCTGAATAAATCTTTAGAGAAAAAGACTTTTTCTTTCTTTCTTTCTTGGTTCAGGTGCTGATGGAACTGCTGCTAACTGAATTGTGTCCTGAGCTGAGAACTCATTTAGATCAACTTAAAGCTGGTCAGGTTTGAGACTGCACAAATAAACCACCAGAGAAATGTCTGTACTAATAGACATGAAACATTTTCCTCTTTTCCACAGAGGGCTTGACTGAGAACCATACTGAACTTTTAGTTACCTCCCTCTAGTTTTATGTGAATTAAGCAGAATTCGGGAGGAAACTTGATGCTGTATATTAGGCAACAGAAACAAAAAAAAAACACTTGTTAATGATTTTTATTTTAATATAAATCCTTTAAAGGACAACATACTGTTTGAAATATAAATGTTGATATGTGATAAGAACCTAGGAAATATTTTAAATATTTATGAAGTTTTGTTTTAAATGAAGAACTCTGAACATTGTACAGTTAATCTCCTCACTGAGGACTCTGAACATTCCTCTGTTCGTGTGTACTGAATATTGTTGTGCAATGCTTTGTGTGAAGTTATTGTGAAAATTTTCCTGTCTTTATTTTTACCAAAGATTTCCCATAGTTTGAAGCATTTGAAGCAATAAATTATAAAAATGAATCAGAGCTCTGATGTTTAAGATGCTTGTATCCTCTCAAAAAACAACTGAAACACTGAAGGCAGTTCAGATATATATCCAGTGCCTTGTTTGTAGAAAACATTGTGTGTGGGAGTTCTTCCGTAAGGGGGTATAAAGGTTGTGCCATTCTCCCAGAATGAATGTGAAAAATACGACTTGTAGTGGCATGGGAAGAGCCAAACAGGTGCTCAGAGAGCTGTATTCAGGATGTGGGATGGGAGCTACATTTTGAGAGACAGGCAGGGGTGAAATGCGGAAACAAAGAGGAGGGGAGTTACTTCATGCTGCTCACGAATTGACTGTGTCATCAAGTCTTGGGGACTAGGAGGGGCACTAGGTGTACAGACATTGCTTTGTTTTCAGTAGCAGGGCATGGACAAGTGACTTAATTTTCCTGGGTTTTACCATTTATTATGCAGTGATAAGGAAACACTTCCCCTTTCTAACCTCCAGAAATACTGACAGAAACTAATTAAGCAGAAATTGTTTGAAATCCATGAAAGAAAAATACTATGTAAATGTATATTAAAATGGTATTGATTATATCATTGTTGGAGCATATCTGCCAAGTTCTTGATACAAAACATAAGTTCTGAAAGAGAAATGATTAAAAATTAGTAAGGCAAATTTTATCTCTGAGATTCTGTTAGCTACAGCTCTTTGATTCTTTTCTCAAACCAAGATATTGTACTTCGGAATTATCTTTCACAGCGACATAGAAAAGACATTCAGAGAAGAGAAGCAGCATGAGGTCACCAAGCCCCAGGAACCTCACAGCAATTACTCAAAGTGTCCATCTTCTGTAATTACACCAGAACTGTTATGACTTCTCAATCTTATCTTTTCATAAGTTATCAACTGTAAGGGCTTAATCAAAGTTTTTTCTTTTTTTTGAAAACAGTTAATGATCTTGAAGCTTCACCTCCCTTAAAGACTGACTCCAATCACAGGTCAAGGTATGCATCATGGCTGGTGGCAGTGGTATTAATAGTTTTCAGGGGCTCACTTGTGCTAGACGTGCCAGCCTTATGGTAACTACAGTAAACTGAAATTTTAACTTCTGTGTTAGATTCACTTAGGACATGTAAGCATAGCATATCACAAAATATGACATGTCAAATTCCTACCTTTAGGATTTCTCAGACCTGTGTTCTAATGGCCGTTAACGTGGTCTTCACTTTGGAGACTGAAGAGTGTGCTATTAAAAGTGCTATTAAAGTCCTCATACATGGCTTTATTACATTTCTGTTTTAAGATTCTTAAAGGCTCAAGGAAATGGACTGAGTGTGGAGAAGAAAATATCGTTTGGGAATCTGGATCTTCAAATAACTGAAGGAATGTTCTATGGATGCTATTAAGAAAATAAGAGCAAAGCAAGTGGGTTTGTATTGTAGAATGATTTAAGTTAGGTTTTTATGAAATCTTGTAGTGGGCTAGAGAAATGGAAAAGTTGTTTCTGGGGGAGAACAGAGTCTTCAGTAGAGATCTGAAAAGGAAAGGACTGGTTTTCAGGGATGGTTTAAGTTTCTACTCTAAGAGATTTAAAGGAGACGTATATGGCCTGAAGTTTGTTAAAATTTCTTTCCTTTAGATAAAGACAAAATTAAGTTCAAGTAATACAGACAAACCAGAACATGAAACAAAAGCAGGTAGTCGTGTGCCATTTAATACGTTAGTGACCAGTGCCTACATATTAACTGTATTTTACCAGCGCTAAGATGAGTTCTTGTAAATCACTTTAGAAAGGATGGGTGTGATTTATAAAATAAAGCCAGAACATTTACAAAGAAGGTGTCATTTGGGTATCTTAAATAATACTTTCAATATTTATTTTACAGATGTGTATTTCCTTTAAAATCTTTTGGTATGGATTCTATTTTTTCTGTTGGCTTTTGGCTTTGTAGATGTAATGGATAAGGAAAGCCTCTTGCTGATTTAACAATTTCTAGGTCTTATACTGGTAGATGATTTGAGATTTTATCTTTGAAATACACTGAGGATTTTAAAATGTAGACAAGGACTTGAAGTTCAAAGAGACATCTTGTTTCAATACAGTAGTTTTACTCACTAAGATGTTTAAGGGAAGATATAGAGAGGCAAAATAGTAAGCAGTTTCTTAAATCTACTTATTTTCAAATTTAGATTTCATGTTTTCCCTTTCAATTTGGAATTTTCTATTTTAAAGTTTTAGATGACTGAATAAAATTATTAAAAATTCACAAAACTAAAGATTAAAGATAATAACTAAAGATTAAAAGAAATTTAAAGAATTACACTTTGTCATTTTTTTGGTAAGTTTGTAGCACTTACACTATTAAAGCTAAGACTGCACCAAGTATTTCAGGACACTATTTAAGAATGGAAAAAAACACTGGCTTTATAGAATAGTTTTCAGTACCTGACACAATCTGGGCCACTCTCTAGACTAAGAAGCTGGATCTCTGAGGACTCTTCCTGCAATTTGATCTTGTTAGCTAGGTTTCAAGTTGTATTACACAAATTCAAGAATGAAGGTATCATGCCATCATGATACCATTAAAATACCCAGGTTACCATGCCACCATTAAAATACCCAGGTTAATCTAGCGTGTGAGGCAGAAAACATAGCTATTATAAAAATACATACATTCTAAGCTGTTAGAATCGATGATCTTTGTTGAAATGCATTGTGGTCTAAATTCTTTGATGAATAAGTAAAGTGTGAAGTTCATCTGCCAATGCAGGATTCAGACGACAAGCCTTCAAATTCAAAGAAAGTTATTTAGACATATTTTGGACTGTTGAACCTTTTGTTTTTAAGAAGTAGAGTACAGTAATTTAAGGGAATTTTGTAATTAAGATACATTTCTACTCTAATTGCTTAATTAGGGGAATTCAAGTTAACCTATGCAAAATAGATCATATACTAAAAATATCCATGCTATTATCATTTGGGGGAGAGAGAATTTTCAGTGCCCAAAATAATGAATTTACACATTGATAGTATTCTAAGATGTGAATTATTTAAGTAACTAAAATAGAAAGCATTACTATTTGACCTCAGACTTTCTATCTCATGTGAATAGCAGCACGGATAATTTTTAAATATATGGTTTTGTTATGCCTAAATCAGTGATAAGGTGCATAATTTCATAGTATGTCAAGCATGTGAAAGACAGAAGGCACCTCACCCAAACCTCATTCCCTGCAGAAACTGTCTTCCTTAGTTCCCACAACAGCGGGTCACTGGGCACTTGCTTGCTGCCCTCCCCTTCCCGTAACACTGCCTGGGCTGTAAGCCTCTGCCCACTGTGCCTCTCTTCTAGGACAGCCTCGCAGTCTGCTGAAGACCACCACTGAAGCCCCTCAAGTCCTTTTTCTCAGAGTAAAATACTTAGAATTTCCCTTATTGTGCCTCATCTGACATGATTCCAGACCCTTCACTGGTATACTTTTAAAATGCAGAAAAGTTAGAGGAAGTATCTCCCATAAAATCCAGTGACCAAAACTTAGTAATGGGTTTGTATTATCTCCCAACCTAAGGAAAACAGTTTTACAGTCGTACCTGTTTATTATGCTGTTTTGTTTAGGATGAACATGTACCACATTTATGGATATTTTTCACCCAGAGTTCTCTTTGCTTATGTCTTCTTGTAAAGGACACCTAGTACAGAATCTAAAACTGACTTGGTTTGGAAACTGGTATAATAAAAGAATATTTAGATTTTTAAAAAGACAGCTGTTACTCATACTAATAGAATGGTGTAATGGTAGATATCTCAAAGGTTAGTTCTATTTTTGTACCATATTCTGATATTTGTGTTGATATGGGTTTAATACTGTGGACATTTTAATTTCCAACAAAATAATTTAGGGTTCCAAACTTGCTGACACAATGCAACCTCCTAGGGAACTTAAATCTGCCCGTGTCCATTCTATGACGTTAAATTGTTCTGAATAAGGCCTAGGTTTTGGAATTCTTAAGAGATCCCCATGTGATTTGAACATGCAAATAATTTTGAGAACCACTGCTGTAACATAATCAGATTTTTAGGCAAGGGACTTAGAAAATTCTTCTTTGCTCTGTTCCCCTGCTCCAGCTGAACAATTTGTGTATTATGCAAATTTTAATAATCTAATTCTTATTTGGAGTTATGGATGTCATGGACCTGAGGTGTGCAATTTTTTGCTTTCTTTTTATTAAAAAAATGAACTTGCAGTTACTATTCATAATGACTGCCTTTCTCACTTCCTCTGCAGTTTTTAACAGTTGCGTTTAGATGTGAAATCTATTTGGTATAACTAAACTGATCACATGGATTAAAACATGAAAAGGCTTATTTTAACTGGTTGTAGTAGATGTCATGCACAAAGAAACCTTAATGAAATGTACTGTAATGTATACAGAAGGAAAATAGAGATTCACCCTTTTTCTGGATGAACTAAGGCATGCTTGTTCAGGCTTTAAGGTCTTAGTGCTGAGCCTTAGGCTGCAGACAGTGAAACAGAATAATTTGCATCAAAAATAGAAACTTTACCATCTGAGCTTAATTATGTTAAAAAGAATGAGAAAATTGTCTGCAAACAAGCTGCATGTCTGACAAATTCTGGGTAGACAGAGGTTATCTGCATAGTAAGTAAGAAACAGTAATTTATAAAATGTTCAAGTCTCAACTAAAAACCCAGAAATTCTAATTGAGTCCATTTATGTTAGCGATAGGGCTTACTTTAGAATAATAGCGTTTAGCTGTCGCCTCATCCTTTGTGATCCCCAAGCCAAGCTGCAGACACCGTGCGTGGTAGAAAGAGGCCATGGCCATGCCTCTGCTGATGAATTCCGGGAGACAGTCTGTGACCTGGGCTATCATGCGGATGTCGTGAACTTCATCATAGTCGGCGATCCTGGAGCACCCAGTCGTCAAATTTAAACACACTATCACTTACGGTTTACATTTTTATAAACGCATCCAGAAATTGTCCTTGTGCCCCAAGTGGTTTCCCTGGCATTTCTACAAGTTTTAGAACTAAACTGTTTGCTGTATGGGGAAGGGTAAACACAGTCAACTAACACAAGTGGACGAGGAACTAACCACAGTGGTTATTTCACAGCCCCTTAGGATTACACTTGTCGGGCTTAACAACCGCTAGAAAACATTAAGTTTAAAATATTACTACAAAATTCTTACCACTTTGCAGGTTTAAACAATGGAGAGAAAAGCAGTCTTCTATCTCTTTGGATATTTAAACATCAACCTTGAATTTGGACTTCAGTCACAGAGGACCAGAAAACACATTGAGAAACTTGCACATCTATGTTTAGTGGGCAATAAAAAGTCATTCTTTGTAACCCAGATACAGAGATGGACAATTATATGGAAGAGTCCATTCCATGTCAGCTGTGATACTGTAGGAAACAGGAACATGGACAATAATGAAAAGTTCCAAAGATTTTTAAAGGACTACTTGAAGTCTTAGTTTTACCCAGATGGGCACTTGGGAGATTTGAGGCACTGGAGACCACACCTCTGCCCATGATGCTGGGGAGGTGAGGGCAAAAGGCATTCCTTCATCCTCCAGTGTAGATGTCCACCTCACACTGGGCGCCTGTGGGCTCTGTGGAAGGGCGTGTAGGGAGGGAGATGTCAGCATGGCCTTACAGCCATTCTAGAGGACACCATGGTCTCTTTCTCGTGTTGTGTTTGTGCATTGTGGATAAAGGCAGGAAAGTACACAGCCTCAACAAATTTCCATATCCTTTACATAGTGTTGAGTCTTTTAACCATTCTTATTTTGCTGTCCTCATCAAGCTACAAGTGTAACTGTGCAGTTATAGAACCCGTGGCTGAGGGTGTAGGAAGAAAAAAAATTTCTCAAAAAAATTCTCTTGTGCCAAGCTATGTTAAGTGCTTTATATTCACTATTGTTTTTAATCAAGAAGAAAATACTTCTGCAAGATTGAGAAAGAACAATTCATGCCCTCAGAAGTAAAATTTGCTTAAGATCACTTAGCTGGCATATAGAGCAAAGAGCACTGAAATCATGCAGATTGATGGCACAGATGTTTCATCAATCACTATCTGATATGGTAGCCACTGGCTGTGTGTGTCTGTTTAAATTAAAATCCAATGAAAGTCACAAGTTCAGTCCTCAGTTGCATTGGCCACTTTGCAAGTGCCAACAGCCATCATTTCCAATACTGCAGTGAGTTCTATTAAACAGACCAGGCACAGAACATCTAGTAAGTTTTTGTAAATACTTTTATCCAGCTTACTCACCTTTTGGAAAATGCAACACACTTTGTAAAGAACTTCATCTTATAGTAATACTCCACGAGATTCCCTTGAGCATAGACGTTGCCACGCTCCGCGGCTTCCCTCAGGCAGTGCAGGGCAGCCTCAGTGTCCTGGCGGATACCTTGTCCGTAGAAGTACATGAGCCCCAAGGCACCCTGGGACTCCAGGTTTCCATTGCCACAAGCTTCTGAATGCCAATAAAATGCCTAAGAAAAAGCACAATTCCATAGTATTCACAAGGTGGAATTTAATTCATCTCTAGGACACAGCTCCAGCCTCTTGAACACAGGTCAGGCTGGCACCAGTTTCACAGGCCTCAGAGACGGTGCAGAGGGAGGCCCCCCTGTTGTCTCCCCACAGTGCAGGCCAGGTCACTGGCTTGAGCTCAGCTGTTCAGGTTTTGGGATTTTCAAGTGTTCCAGAGGAAGCACAGAGAAGGTGGGAAATAGGAACCTGAAAGGCTTTGCAAAGCGGCACAGCAAGGAGACCTGCTGGTGATGTTAGATGGCGGCCATCTTTCAGACCCACTTGGAGCTCTGACAGGATCAAAGACAACCAAGGATACAAACCTGCATGTGGTCCAAGCACATCTGCCCTGTGAATCTGAGTTCACAGTGATTTCCAGGCAGCTGTTCAGCTATCTGCCAAGGATCGGTGAGGGTGGGGGCGGTGGGGGGGGGGGGGGGACGGGCGGCAGTGGGGGTGCAGGGAGTGGGTGGTGGTGGTTGTGTGGCTCCTACAAGCTTGCCTTGAACGCCTCATTTCCTCCTCCCTGTAAGATTTCTTGGAAACATCTCCCATCACTGATGATTAAAAGAGACTGTACTAACTCACCCTCCTCTTTTACCTTTTATGGTAGAGTATTTTGTAGGTATGTTTTCCACAGCACACAAAGTGCTCACATCTGTGGTCTCCTTTGGCAGAAGAAGGCAGCATTCATAGTTGAGGCGAGATGAGCTTGGAGATCCTAATATGTAAGCTTTCTCTACATTTTAAAGAATTATGAGCTACTCAGGACTACATATTCCTCACCATCCTCCATTCACAGAAGGAATAGTGAACTAAATATTAATCTACACATGATGCTACAGTTTATCAAATGGACCGCTGTTACCTTCTCAAGCTCTTTGGGCTCCTTTGTTGAGTAATACAGTCCTAGGATACTCTGAGCCTTCACACTAGCTTTTGGGTTTCCATTGTCTGCAGCAAAAAGCCACAGTCTAGAAGAGAAGGAGAGGTGAGTTATTCTTTGTTTAAAACATTTGATTAAAACAAAATCTTGTTCTTAGGTCAGATTACCTTTCAGCTTCCTTGTCTGATCGTTTAACGCCTTTTCCTTCATAATAAGCTCTTCCAAGGTTGTAAGCTGCTGCAAATTTTAAGTGTCTTGCTTTGGGGCATGGAGAATCAACAATTTTCTTCATATATTCCACTCCTTTTTCCTTCCACAAAGGAAAAGAACAAGACAGAAAGTCCCAGTTTAGTTTTACCCAAACTAAGTTTTCTGATAATGCCATGAAGCATTCATGCTCTGACATGATGTAGAGTCTCGAGTCTGTACCTAACAGTATGGTTGTCCTGGAGTCTGCAGGGCTAGAAATAAATAAAAGTCCATCTCCCAAGTCAGTGTTCCTAGGAGCTCTGGGAGGTAAGGCATGCCTCCCATATTACAGCTTCCACAATTGCATCACGCCTCAATATGAGTTCCTTTGTCTCTTCTCATGTTCCTTATTTTGAATCAGCACAGTTCTTAGAATTTGTCGAAGTGTAAGAATAACCAGACACTTTCACATTTTTAACCCTTACAGGATGCATGTAAGCCCTAAACCCTGTCTTCTTTCTTTAAGCACACTTTCCTTAGCTGTGCTCAGTGATAAATTTATATCTACTACACTCATCTTCATATGATGTCTGCGTAGTCACAAAACACAGGAGACATCCTGCCTGCTAATAAAAGGCTTGCCCTGCCTCTGAAAACCCAGACACGAACTGTTTACCAAACCAGGCCCCTCCTGCCCAGTGCCCAGCAAGCCAAAACACTGAGACACTGAGGTTTGCAGCAAGGAGCCAAGCAGCTGGGAGAACAAATCTCAAATTCCAGCCCCTGCAAGGCAAGGGGTTTGGGGTATTTATCGGATGAAGAAAGCAGCCACTGGAGGCATGGGGAGTGTGGGGAAAAGTGACTGGGAAAAGGTGTGGGAGTCTTTGTCCTGTGCAAGTGTACCTAAGCTATAAGGCTCTGCATGTTCAACAAGTCACCAAGCAATGGACACTTGTGCATGCCCAGATGGGCCGATGGTTCCATCCCCTCTGAACTGGCTCAGCTCGAAGTAGACATACCCGACTCCAGGTTCCTAAAAAGCATCTTGTTTAGGCTACATGCTGCCTGGGGGACACACCAGTCTTAAAAGCATCTGGATTAGTGAAAGCAATCGAAATGGATTTGAACATGGTTTCAGTCCCCACCTTACCTTTTGATTATTTCTCACTCTGGAGGAAAAAGAGCGAGGATAGCGCTGGCTAATTCCTGCTGATAAGGCCTAATATGGGCTTGAATCAATCTCTTAAACACTTATTTGAAAATACGTTCCTGGTTTCAAGTGAACATCTTTTTTAATGTGGATGATTTTTAAAGTCTTTATTGAATTTGTTATGACACTGCTTCTGTTTTATGCTTTGGTTTTTTGGCTGGGAGGCATGTTGGGTCTTAGCTCCCCAACCAGGAATCAGACCCACACCCCCAACACTGGAAGGCGAAATCAACTGGATCACCAGGCAAGTCCCTCAAGTTAACATTGTGATCCCAAACAAATATCACTTATGCACCAGCTGTCAGGTTATTCACAGGCCCAACACTGGTAATAAAAATTGCAGATAAATATGTACCAGGTTGGGAGCAGGGACAACTATGTATCCTCTAAGGGCACACAGAATACCAGACATGTTAAGACTCTCATCCTTGGGGATTTTACCTGGGACACGGTCTTACCTGGGATCTCTGTCTTATACTTTTTACCTACTGGAGTGTCTTGATCATTATCAGTTGACAACATTTAGATAATATGGAAGGGACAAGGGCTGGGAAAGCTAAGTGTGGTTTCTGAAATACCCTCACCAAACAGAACCTTGGCAAGGGGAGATGCCAAAGGTTTGGTGTTTTTTTTTTTTTTATTCTGAGGACAGGAGAAGACCAAATTTTCAGTTAGTCAAGAAAATACAAAGGACAGGAAATTTACTGATTAGCCTAATTCAATAGTCACGCCTGAAGTCACAGTGAAGTTAGGGATGGTTAACAATTAATGACAGGCAGAACTAAGGGGTCAACATGATCAAATACAGAAGGTTTTGGATGACAGCCAAAAGGTAGAGAAATTATCTACTTTTGCCAAAGACTGAAAAATTCTGATCACTGAACTGTCCTTCCAAGCCTGGGAGGTTATAAACAAAGAGAAAGCGGAACAAAAAATCTGATAACTAATGAGTTTATATTTAAATTGCTCTCTGAATTTTACTTTCTCAAACCCACACCACAGCAACCCCATTCACCTTTCTCATGGCTGCTTCCTCAGTAGGAACTTCAGATCTGTTGGGGGTCCCCTGGCCCACTGAGAAGCTGGGGTTGATGCTCCTCTTGCAGTGTGGTTTCCCTCTCCTGGCCGGTTCCTCATAAGGTCCGTTTGTTGAAGATGGAGCTGGGCTTCAGAATGTTCATTATCTCCTCCTTTAAGAACTTCTGAAAGGGGTTTTGCTGTGAGTCCAAAGCTGAGGACCCGAACATGGCAGAAGCTGGCCATTCCCAGAGATTCCTGCAGCAGTCTCTTGGTGGGGGCTGCTGCCCTGCCTAGAGCTCCCCTCTGTCAGAGGTCAAGTCTCTGTCCTTGTGAGAGTTCAAAACCCAAATATTTACCAGAGGGCTGAGAACTCTGCTTTTTTTTGGATACCTGATAGCCTCGTTCAACCAAAAAGGCTGAAATCAAAATCATGTTCTGGCAACCTCCCTGGTGGTACAGTGGATAGGAACCTGCCTGCCAATGTAGAGCACACAGGTTGGATCCCTGGTCTCGGGGCAACTAAGCCCATGTGCCAACAACTACTGAGCCTGTGTTCTAGAGCCTGGGAGCTGCAGCTACTGAAGCGCGCACGCCTAGAGCCTGTGCCCAGCAACGAGAGAAGCCACAGCAATGAGAAGCCCAAGCACAACAATGAAGAGGAGCCCCTGCTCACTGCACCTAGCGAAAAGCCTGCACAGCAACGAAGACCCATCACAGCCAAAAAAATAAAGAAAGAAAAATCATATTCTGGTCTCAAGTGTCCTTTGTCCTACTGGTAATCTGAATACCAGTCTACCTCCCTCATTTAGTTGAGGGTCCCTTAATCTTTTGCCAGGATTGCTCCAAAAATGATGGGTGAAGTTTTAAATCGTCAAGGAAGTACTGTCTGGCAGTACTGTTGTTTAACTCTTAGTATCAGATCCTTCCACTTGAAAGCAAACAACTCTTGGGATTTAAAACAAGGACGTGCAAGAAAAGGCATCTGTAACCTCTCATACGGTAGACCCACATTTTGTGGACAGATCAGTGACACAGTGCAGGGCTCAGGGGCTGCCCCACGAGCCTCTTTTACAATCTGATTGCTCTTAAATCCTGTACAAGCTGACTTCAGGTGATGCCCTAACTTACATAGGCCTAGCTCTCTGCTCTTGCTGATCTCTCGTCCACCCAGGCCTTTGGACTCCTCTTTGCAATCTCTCCTGGAATAGCTGCAGGCTGTTCTCTTTGGGGTACAGCCTGAAATTTGCAAGCCTGCTCCAGTGGTACTTTAATGCTCATCTGCCCAGGTGCAAAGGTAACCCTGGTATTTAGTAAATTTCTCAGAAGGGAAATGGGACATTCAGGCATATATACAAAGTTATGCTTTTTCCCCATCTGACAGTCTAGCTCCTGGAAAAAAAGACATTTTCAAGGTTTCTTTGGACACCTCAGCTCAATCCCCAGTAGCCAATTCCTAACATTTATTAGACAGTTAGACACAGACATACATGGACAAGCAAGACTAAAACAAAACCATGGCCCTGGGCCTGTGACCCATAATACAGAGGCCTGTAACCTTCTGTACTGTCTGCCAAAGTCCCTCCAAGTGGGCCTCTGGTCCATGATCCATTCAGGGTCGCAAAGACAATCTAGGCATAGTTGTGTTTCTTTAATGAAGTTACTCACCCAAAAGAAATCTTCCAAACCCAAAAGCCCAAAACCTCCAAAATATGTTACGAAAAATCAGGTCCGACTGCTCACCGCACAGAAGCCAATACTTGAGAGGCAAGTCAGGTGGAAAGGAAAGTTTTTTTTATTCCAGAGGCCAGCAGTGGGAGAGAACGGTGGACTCAAGTCCGAAAGCCAACTCCTCACTGACAATCAGTGGGCAAGAACTTTTATAGTTGGAGAGGGGGTTGCATGTAGAACAGCACCGTCAGTTCTGACAGTCATCTTGAAACTGGTCGTGAAGTGGTCTGATCAGCGTCATCTTGATTGTTTTAAGTACAGTTAATCTTCAATTCCAGGGTTTGTTTGTTCTCATTTCTTTGGGGCCAGTTCTCATGGCTAGTCTGGTCATCATGTATTTAACTTCTTCTACCTGGTAGGGGTTTCAGTGGCTACAAAACAGCTCAAAGGATGTGGTTTAGAATATTATCTATAGCCCCTGAGGAGAACTAAAGGTCCTTGGCTTCATTTAATGACGGAAGTAGTGTAATTTGGTCTTGTTTTCCTTTGCTTCAACACTTTCATTTCTCTGAATTCATTCTTTGAAGTTTTTCTCCACACAAAAGGCAGGCAGAGGATGTGGGGGTGGGGTTGGGGTGGGAACGGGAGCGGGGAGCAAGGAGCGAGGGCCATAGGGTCTGCTTGTCCCCAGGTCCTTTTAGCACCTGCAAGGGGCCAACGAGCCACAGGTGAAAGGTTCATCTTTACTTACCTCTTGGCTGGCTCACCTCATTTGTTACCAAACTAGATTTGTCTTGCCAGACACATTGCAAGCCAAATGCTGAGACACCGAGGTCTGTAGCAAAAAGAGGGTTTATTTGCAAGGCAGTCAAACCAGAAGACAGGAAGAACAAATCTCAAAACAGCTTCCCAAGGCAAGTGGTTCCAGGTATTTACAGGATAATGAATAACGCAGCAAGGCAGTTGGAGGCGTGGGGAGCGTGGAGGGCATGGGGAAAGGTGCGGTGACTGGTGGGTAATTTTCGCTCTGTGCAGGTGTAACTAAGCTACAGGCTTCTGCACATTCAAAAGATCACCAAGCAATGGACACCTGTGGATGCCCAGCTGGAGGGTGGGTGGCCCTATCCAGTCTCAACCAGTTGCTCAAACTAGATGCAGCTGACTCCCAGTTTCTAGACAACCACTTGGGCAACGGTTTATGGTTTATGCTCATGTTGCCTGGAGGGCATGTTAGCCTTTTTTTTTTTTAGTTTAAAAGAATTTTTTATTAACCAGGATTCTTAATTCCTTCCAACATGTCAGATAACAAATCTTTTTAAGATAACTAAGTCTTTGGTTGACACACTAATATATAATTGATAATTTAAGTTAAAACAACCTTGACAAATGAAGGCAGGTGAAATGGACTTAATCCTCAGTTTCAAAACCTTCGAAAGTCATTCCAAAGAAAAAAATATTTTACAGTCATGTACAGTTGTATACACTTCATTCTAACCTTTACCCCTCACTGCTCTCTCAAAATGCTGTTGTTGGCTAAACACCACAGTAAAATATGAGAAAATAAAGGTGTTTTACTGAGTCCCAGATCACATGGATCTATTTCTGTGAGTATGTGAGGTAGGTGTCTACCAAGCTTGTCAGAGAGAACTTATGGTACAACCACAGTAGAGTGAAGTGTTTGTGTAAATCCTCCCACAGATGGCAGTGATTAAACTGGGACCAAACATATAGAACCACTTTTTAAAGGCACTAGGAAGTTTGCCAAAGCAAACATAAACTGGAAAAGGAATAACTCTTGAAAACTGCAACCGAAAGGGATCCTTGAAATTCAGTAAACCCCAGATAGGATACACAAAAACCCTCTCCTAGGCACACATCATAGTCAAACTGCTGAAAGCTATAGACACCTTACAAGCAGTCAGAGAAAAAGGCCGTATTACATACAGGGAACATAATACAAAACTTCCCTGGTGGTTCAGATGGTAAGGTATCTGCCTGCAATGCAGGAGACAGGGGTTCGATCCCTGGGTTGGGAAGATCCCCCAGAGAAGGGAATGGCAACCCACTCCAGTATTCTTGCCTGGAGAACTCCATGGACAGAGGAGCCTGATGGGCTATAGTCCATGGAGTCACAAAGAGTCGGGCACGACTGAATGACTAACACACAATACAGAGACTGACTTCTCATGAGAAGCCAGGAGATTTTAGAATGGCATTTTTAAAGTGGAGTAAGAAAGAGCTCAACCCCAAAACAATTCATTAGAAATGAAGGTAGATTGAAGACATTTTCAGGTAATCACAATTGGAGATCACTCATCACCTGCACATTATACAAGAAATGCTCTTTAAAGGAAGTTTTTCAGGTTTAACAGAAATGGAATACAGTGCCAAACGGCAACCCACCTTGATAGGAAGGACTGAAGAGCCTCAGAAATGGTAAATATGTACAAATATAAAAGATACACAGGCACATACATACTTGTATATATTTTTTCCTCTCAATTTCTTTCCAAAGATATATGATTAAAGTAAACATAACTATTTTGTATTCAGGGGTTTATAATGTAAATTTCAAGACATTTCAGGTCTACCACACAAAGCACATTTGGTTCAACCAGACTCTGGGCCAAATTAGTCTCAAGAACAACTCAGTAAATTTATAAAGTGATAAAAATTAAAAGAATTTTCCCTTTGCCCCTTTACCTTGGGTTAACTGAAGAGACCTACAGAAGCCATCTTCCTTTTTGCTCCTCTGGTCTCCATATGTAATTACATTGAAGTCATTCTACTTTGTGGAGTTTCCATATACCAACCCATTGAATCTACCAATTTTCCTAATCTTTCCACACCTTCATGTTCTTCCCACATTATCAGCTTATTCTATATCTGTCACTGTACTCATTCCTTTGTCCCTCTTTCCCTCCATGACACTCACTCATGAGGCAAATACCCTATTTCTCCCTAGTCTGCTGTACTTAAACCATTGAACATGGCTGGAAAAAAATTAACCATGCTAACAGGTCTTTCTTAAAATTTATGACTATAAATTTCAGAGCAAGCTCTCAGCCCTCACAAGTACTATCAGTTTGTTTCAATAATAGTCTCTCCCACTTATCTTGAAGAGAGGATACTATTTTAAACCTTCTTTCTCTTCAAACTTCTGCTCTCCCTGCTCCCACTCCTCAGTCTCAACTCATGGCTTCGATTTTTAAAATATTTTTTATAAAAGCTATGGAACAGTTCATGAGTTTGTGTGTCATCTTTGCATAGGCTATGCATACATGCTGCTAAAGCAAACACATGGCTTCACTTTTATTTCACTGAGAAAACAGAAAGAATGAAAAGTAACATCAAATCTATGAATTTACCTGATTCATCATTTAGGGAGAGACAGGCAGTTGGCTATGTGGATCTCAGAATTAGTTTCTGGTATAAAGACAACGATTGGAAAGTTTTCAAAAAGTATCTATAGATGGTGTCAGCCATGGGGCTGAGTGTGAGCCTACTCAAGGAGAGAGTGAAAGGAGGCAGGAAGGGCTGAGGCCTAGGTTCTGACACATTTCAACATTAGATGGGAGAGAAGCAGCTAGCACAAGGGACTGCGGAGTGGCTGTGAAGAGGCAAACAGAAAAAAACTGTATTTCAAATACACAAACAATGGTAGAATGATGTGTGCAAAGTTTGAGGGAGAATCAGATGAACTAGAGATATCTCAGATGCTAAGGTGGGAGGGTGTTGCAAGGAGGGTGGGGTCAGCTGTATTACACTTGGAGTAAATGCAGGCAATATAGTAATGGATAATGCAGGTTACTAAACTTTCAAAAATTAAACTATACATAGGTTAAAATGAGTATCTTACAATTAATGCAAACATTTATTTTTACCATTGATTTCACCATATGGCGCAATGATTATAAATATGGAAAGATGAAGAATTTCAGGAATTAGAGTATGGTCCGCATTATTAGCTTTATACAAGATAAAGCCAGGGAGGAAAATGCTTCTCGGACACTTACTCCATGTGCCCTGTGTTAAGTTATTTTTATGTGTTGTCATCCAATCTCATTAACAACTATGTGAGTAGGTTAATGAGTTTTATTTTTTATGCTGCCTCCAGTGGACTAACCTGGTAATGTATCCTTAAAGCTTTGTACTGATAAAAGTTCTGAGACTATGTCTGGACTCAGCTACAACAAAGAGGTTTATGATCAGTCATCACGGTTGGCCATGACCAAAGGAGACGGGGAAATGAGAGATGTATCTCTGAGGTTATTTATCTTCATTTTACAAATAAGGAGACTAAAGCTAGAAATAATTTTCCCAAGATTATACTGCTAATAGGTGGCGAAACCAAGATTTGAAACCAGTGGTAAAGCCAAAATTTGAAAGCCTGTGTACTTTCACATTTTAGAATTTGTCATAGACCTGAATAGATAGGACACCTTTGCAAGTGAATACAGGGAAATTAAATTCTAAATATCTTTGAAAATTTTAAAAATAAATTTCATAGGAAATTTCTCTGTAAGATGAGGCATAAAAAGGGGAAAGAATTAAAAAAGGAAAACCACAAAGCATCGAGAAAATTGTATTACTGATCTCCAAATCTCATAATTTAATTTATTCCTTCATCTTCAAGCATGCCAAAAATATGAGGCCTAAAAATACTATTGATATACAACAGATTATTATACAAGTATTTAAATGAAAATGTAGACTATATCTATTGACAATGAAGGACATTCAAAACACAGGTGGAAAAAAAAAGATTACAAAACAGTATGTATACTTGGTCATATATTTTAAAAATGTAGGTGTGTATACACACATAATTTTCTTCTGCATAGGGCAATACATGAAAGAATGTACTCTAAAATAATAACTATTAATAACTTCATTTGGAGTGATCTTAATTTTGCTTATTTTCTAACATCTCTCCATGTTCATGTAGCTTTAAAGTAACTTTTAAGAATAAAGGAAAACATTTTAAAACATAAATGTTATCGATGGCTAATGGTAGCAAGGAGGGGGCAAAAAGAAATTTTGTTTTCATGTAAATGCTGAAAGAACAAATAATTATTTAAATATGAGTACAGATATATATTATTAAAATAAAAACAATTTTAAATATATCAAATAATCCAGAAACCACGAAATCTTAAACACTGAACAAAACAATAACTTACAGAGTCTGCGACCGTCCCCAGGCCATCATAATACATCACTCCTAGCTGGTAAGTTGCCTGATGATCCTTTTCCTTGATTTCTTCAAACTGTTCTAACGCTTCTTCATACCATCCCTGTAAGCTCCCAGGAAATACTGAATTATTTTCTTTATTATCTTAAAGTAATCACAGATACTTACTTAGTTCCCACCTAAATCTAGCTAGCAGCACCAAATAAAACAAAAGAAGACAGAAACAAATTTATGGAATTTACAAGTGAGCCACTGACAAGAATCAACACACTATAAAAATCAGTAAAATAAACATGGCAACTGACGGAAGTAACGAGGAGGAACCTAGGAGGGACTTTCTTTGACTTTCACTCTTATTCTTGGCTATGGCTGAACTACCCTCTATTGATAATCTAGCTTGGTGCTCATCCCAGCCTGCCATATCACCCATCATTCCCAGAATCTGAGAAACTTCAGAGTTGGGGCCAAAGTCTCTGAGAAAAGATAAGCATCAGGACATCCATTATTATTAAATATCCACTCTAATATGGCTCTTCCAGTTTTGCCATTTTCTAGCTAAAGAAGACACAGAAAAGCAAATATGTGATTCTCAAAAATTATCTTCCTCCCATATGTCCTATAGAAACCTCCATGTCACGAGTCATTCATTTAAGGCTCCTTAGCATCATAGGATATAATAAGAAATATGCTACAGTGTAAGGAACAAACATGGAGCTTGTATCTTAATCCCCCATGGAAAATGCCTTAAAGAATAAATCATTTGTAATACTGGAAAAAGAGTCACTGAGTTGAAAGGTCAGTACAAGGATGAGAAGGCCTGACAAAAACAACTTTTGGAAAACACAGAAACTACTGAATTTCTCTTTTCCTAAACTGTAATCAATCAACAAATTGATGAAATTAATAAAAATTTCACAAAAATACTCACAAGTAAGTGACTTGTAAAGATTCATTTTCTTTTTTGGCTAATGTTTGGCCAAGATATGAAGGCTGGAAAACTCAGAATACTCCATACAGAGAAAGAGAAGAGAGGACCTTACAGTTTTCATGATTTTAAATGTCATATACATGCTGGAAAAATCTCAGATATATATTTACTTTCAACTCTGACTTTTCTTTTGAGATCTAGAGTATTACATGTAGTTTCTACTTTGAAACCTTATACTTGGATGACAAAGGGGAATCTTAAACATAAAATGTCCAAAAACTGAACTCTTGATGGTTTCCTCAAAACTCACCCACTTCTCCATTTTTCAGTCCATGCCACCATTACTTGTGTCTCCAAAATAAATCCAGGATCCAGTTCCACTGCTACCACTCTGGTCAAGACCACCAACCTCTCTTGCCCCAACTAGTATAATTTTTCTCTAAACTCGTCTTGGTTTTATGCTTCCCTTCCAGTCCATTCATCAGTCTCAAAACACTTCCAACAGCTTCTCACTACTTTTGAAACAAGGTTCGTCAAGAGCTCTTCAGTTCAGTTGCTCAGTCGTGTCTGACTCTTTGTGACTCCATGGACTGCAGAATGCCAGGCCTCCCTGTCTTATCACCTACTCCCAGAGCCTGCTCAAATTCATGTCCATTGAATCGGTGATGTCATTCAACCATCTCATCCTCTGCCGTCCCCTTTCCACCCGCCTTCAATCTTTCCCAGCATCAGGGTCTTTTCCAATGAGTTAGTTCTTTGTATCAGGTGGCCAAAGTATTTGAGTTTCAGCTTCAGTATCAGTGCTTCCAATGAATATTCAGGACTGATTTCCTTTAGGATGGACTGGTTAGATCTCCTTGCAGTCCAAGGGACTCTCAAGAGTCTTCTCCAACACCACAGTTCAAAAGCATCAATTCTTCAGCGCTCAGCTTTCTTCACAGTCCAACTCTCATACCCATACATGACTACTGGAAAAACCACAGGTTTGACAAGATGGACCTTTGTTGGCAAAGTAATGTCTCTGTTTTTTAATATGCTCTCTAGGTTGGTCATAAGTTTTCTTCCAAGGAGCAAGTGTCTTTTAATTTTATGGCTGCAGTCACCATTTGCAGTGATTTTGGAGCCCAAGAAAATAAAGTCTGTCCCTGTTTTCATTGTTTTCCCATCTACTGGCCATGAAGTGATGGGACCAGATGCCATGATCTTAATTTTCTGAATGTTGAGTTTTAAGACAAATTTTTCACTCTCTTCTTTCACTTTCATGAGGCTCTTTAGTTCTTCTTTGCTTTCTGCCATAAGGGTGGTGTCATCTGCATATCTGAGGTTATTGATATTTCTCCCAGCAATCTTGATTCCAGCCTGTGCTTCCTCCAGCCCAGTGTTTCTCATGATGTACTCTGTATATAAGTTATATAAACAGGGTGACAATATATAGCCTTGACATACTCCTTTCCCAATTTGGAACCAGTCTGTTGTTCCATGTCCAGTTCTAACTGTTGCTTCTTGACCTGCATACAGATTTCTCAAGAGGCAGATTAGGTGGTCTGGTATTTCCATCTCTTGAAGAATTTTCCACAGTTTGTTGTGATCCACACAGTCAAAGGCTTTGGTATAGTCAATAAAGCAGAAGTAGATGTTTTTCTGGAACTCTCTTGTGTTTTCAATGATCCAATGGATGTTGGCAATTTGACATCTGGTTCCTCTGCCTTTTCTAAATCTAGCTTGATCATCTGGAAGATCAAGGTTCACGTACTGTTGAGGCCTGGCTTGGAGAATTTTGAGCATTACTTTGCTAGTGTGTGAGATGAGTGCAATTGTGCAGTAGTTTGAGCATTCTTTGGGATTGTCTTTCTTTGGGACTGGAATGAAAACTGACCTTTTCCAGTCCTGTGGCCAGTGCTGAATTTTCCAAATTTGCTGGCATGTTGAGGGCAGCACTTTCACAGCATCATCTTTTAGGATTTGAAATAGCTCAACTGGAATTCCATCACCTCCACTAGCTTTGTTTGTAGTGATGCTTCCTAAGGCCCACTTGACTTTGCATCCTTTTCACATTGTAGAGCTCGCCAAAATCTTCATCTCAGAAATGTTGCATTTGTTTTCCCTTCTACCTGGAATGTCCTTCCCTGTGGCTGTTTGCATTGCCTGTTTCCTTAAGCTTCAGTTTCAACAACAGGTCTTTCTGCCCTACCCCTAAATTAATCTCTATCAGAGTAGCCAGTTAATTGCTTTCATAGTACTTTTAACTTATTTGTAATCATATATTAACTTGTTATCTTCCTCTTGACTATAAGCTCCATGAAATGGGGACCATTCTAATTCCCTCACCACTAGTTAGTACCTAGCTTAATAGTAGCAAATACTTATAAAGCACTTATTAAGTGGCAGGCCCTAATAGTAAGTATTTTTTACAATTAATATATCCTCATAATAGCTCTATGGCACACATATTATTACCCCTCCTTTAGAGATGAGGAAACTGAGGCACTAAGAGGTTAAGCCTTTGTGCCCAAGGGTATAGTTAACAAGCCACAGAACCTCAACTGAATCTATGCTCAAAGCTGAAAGATCATTCTCTTAAACATTATGCTACATGATCCTCAGAGTGACAGGTACGTGATGAGTCCTCAACAAATATTTGTTGCCAGAATGAAGGAAGGAGCCATAAAAAGATTAGTAAGTAGGATATAGGTGAAGGGTTGCCCAAACATTCAAGAGATAGTGAGGGGCTGGGGACAGCTGGTCCTTTTTTACATCTTCCCTTGGGGTTCAATGAACCATTGAAGCTATATTGCTGAAGCTGGAGTGATATCTTGCACAGGTCTACCTAGACCTACTTTGTAAATCTCAGCATAATGTGGATAAAGAGGGAAATTCTCTCCTTAATCCATACAGAAACTTACTTAAAGATACCTTTAAGTACTATTAATCAATAAGAATCAGGATTTTTAATTGTTAATAATATAAAAATATTTTACAAATGACACTGAATATTTTAGTAAAATATAAAAATTAGACTTATTATGTGCAAATGGATTTCATAACAAAATGACTCCCATAAATGGCATTCATTAGAATGACTTTTATGGAGAAAGGTCGAATAGCTCTGTAAGCTGGGACCAACGTATCATGCTGGAAGCCACAAACACAATCTAGGGAATTTGACAGAACTTCCCTGGCTTAACAATGGTAAAGAACTCTATAGGAAACTTTGCTATGGAGCTCTAACAATGGCGTTATACGAAATGAAAACAAATCCACAAAAACTGATACCTCTTCAAAATAAAGTTGACCTCGTAGGAAATATGCCATAGTATCCCCTCTTCTTATCCTTTCCTTCAAGAGCTGCAAAGCCTTATCCACCAAATCAGCATGGCTGTAATGATCTGGTTTTTTAAAAAGCAAAGAATTCCATCTTTACCCATACAATGTGAATTTCTTCTCTTAAAGTAATAAAGTATATAGAATTCATCTGACACTGTTTACACTGGTTTCCTTCCTAGTTCTCATTCCTAAAACTGACCTCCTTAGTTCAAGGAAAAAGCATCACCTTAGAAGAAAGAAAGCACTATCACAATACCAGACATTGTACCTTACGTAATTAAGAAGTACACTGGTGGGCTGTCACACTAACCCTCTTTCCTACTAGGCAGGAGCTCCAGCCATGTAGTCTGTGTGGAATTCTTTAGACAAAGCTGGCCTCTGTGTGAAATTCTTAATTTCAGTCTTAATTAGAACTAGTCTAACTAAATGTGCTAACCATCCCCAATTTAATTTTTTTTAGGTCTATAGAAAAAGAAATGGTAGCTTTAAATGCCTATTTCAAATAAAGTATAATACTGTCCTCTCTAACAGAAGTGACATCTGGCTTCTTTTTTCGAGAAGGGTGTTCTAAAGTCCTGAGAGTAAAACCAGGAGCAGGATCTCATGATGAAACTTCTTCACTGATGATCTGCTACCAGATAAGCTGGGTAGCAATTCCACAGATTTTTACAGAAAAGCTAGAAAGGACTGTAAACTTAACCACTTCTTTGCCAGCAATAAGACTCATATTTCTTGTCTCTTTTGCTCTGGTGTACATAATTAACTTTAAGTGAAAATACTATCAGGACTTGTACCAGTCTTTTCCTTTCTCCACTGGAAGACTTTTGTATTCTTAGCAGCGAAGTGGGATAGAGAAGTATAAGAGGGGTTCTTGGGCAACTTTTCACTGGTCAACTTCATCCTGTCTCCACAGTGGGTATTCTGTAAAAGAGAATAAAATAATAATACGGTAGAAATATCTTTCTCTAGGAAAATGCACCAAGAGATTCCATTTCCACTTGACAGAAAGAGCATCCTCCCCTCATCACTGAAGGATAGGGCACCAAACTATCAACTCTGGTATATGAGCATTCCTTCTTAGGAAACCAGGACCTTTCACAGCTACGAGAAGCACAGCCCTCATCCATGTCTGTTCCCACCACAAGGAGTCAATGATCAGAGCTATCAGCAAGTCTTCTCTGGCTGTGAAATCACATGCTCTAGCGAATCATGTCACCCACCACAGCTGCTGCCACTAGTAGGAATTGGTGACACTGCCCATAGATACAGTTCTGGTGCATTACCTTGTAACTGAAGCTCATCAAGCTAATCCATTTTAAACGAAAGCACCTGTCTATTTTACCTGGGAATACACTTTATTTTAACTGTGTTGTTCAGTTTTATCTTTCCATCTGTATTGGGTTTCCATGTTATACGGTGGATCACAGTTGAGTGGAAAATCAGAGCCTTCATATAAAATGTAGAGGCCACCTAATGTGGGATGAAGGGGTCCAGGTTGGCCTAGGCTGGGGGTAATGAGACCGCAAACTCAGTTGTTGCTACGCTTTTGTGTTTACTCCATGGAATTCCACTGTTACAGCATGCTCTCACCAATCAGAAACAAGCTTCCAGTAAAGCTTCCTGGTTGGTGGTGAAGAGAACTCAACAGACCTTTAGCATGACTGGAAAGCCACAATCATACAATTTTATGATACCATTTTGGGCAATAAATTGCTTTGTTTATGAGAAGGGAATGGCAACCCACTCCACTATGCTTGCTTGGAGAATTCCATGAAGAGAAGAGCCTGGCGAGCTACAGTCCATGGGGTCGCAAAGAGTCAGAAATGACTGAGCAACTAACACACACACAATGAGAATGAAGTGCAGAAAGGGAGATAAATCAGTATATCAGGGGAAAAAATCACCAAAGTATCTGTGATTTTGGAAGAGGCATTTAATTTTTTTAAGAGTTAATTTTCTCATCTGTAGTTTGGATTATAAATAGTTTGAACTAGAGGATTTCAAAATATCTGTTCCTAGATATGTAAACTTCTTGGATTATATGATTCCAAAAACCTATGGTTGTACTAATAAATATAGAAGTTTCCAGAGAACTTTAGGGTGAAGCAGTATTAGGTAAAGTATTTAGAAGAACTAAGACAACCCAAATACGATGATGTTCACAGCATGTCTCTGTTATCTCTGAATTGCCAGCATCTCAACTCTTGTGCTTTGGGGCCATGAGTAAGTAAATAAGGGTTACCTGAACACAAGTAAATTTGATAACCCAGGTAGCTACTAGGTGACTAACCTGGACAAAAGGGGTGATTCACCTCCCAGGAGGTATGGAGTGAGATTTCATCACACTACTCAGAGTAGCATGCAGTTTAAAATTTATGAATTATTTCCCATTTAATGTAATTTTCCATTTAATATTTTCAGACTATGACAGGCCTGTAAACCACAGGAACTGAAAATGCAGGTAACAGGGGACTACTGTAATTTCCTCTTTCTGTTTCAGGATCCCATAGTCATCATGTCTCCTTAGCTTCCTCTGGTCTATGACAGAGTCTCAGGTTTTCCTTGTTTTTAACAACTTTGACAGTTTTGTACTGGCCAAATATCCTGTAGAATGTTTCCCAATCAGGGTTTACCTGATATTTTACACATGGTTAGACTTGGGTTATGGACTTTAGGGAAGATGCAGAGGTGAAGTATCTTTTCGGCAGACCATATCAAGGGTGCATGACTTATCGCTGATGATAATAACAAACACCTGACCAAGGCAGTGTTTCACAGGTTTTTTTCACTGTGAAGTTACTTCTCCTCACTTCCCATATTCTACTTTTTGGAAGCAAGTTATTATGCAGAGCCCACACTCAGAGGAGGATGGGGTGGGGTAAGGATTAACCTCTGCTTCCTGGAGTGAGGAATGTCTAAATGATGTGTTTGGCATGCTTTTGTAAAGAAAAGCTGTCTTTTTCCTTACTTCTTTCCTTCCTATCTATCCATCTTTATCAGTTATCTATTGGGTTGGCCAAAAAATCCACTTGGGTTTTTTCGTAAGATGTTACAGAAAAACCTGAACGAACTTTCTGACCAACCCAGTGTCTATTCTTTGTGCAGTATCCTGGAGCAGTAGTTGTTTAGAATAACTATATAATTTATCATCTTTTCCAAGAAGTTTGAGTAAGCAAGGCTGGGAGGGTTTATACAGTATAAACTAGACACAAGAATTTCTTTGTGGGAAATCCTTTTCCTCTTACATGTGCTAGTCATTCAGTGGTGTCTGACTCTTTGCAACCTCATGGACTCTAAATTCTCCAGGCTCCTCTGTCCATGTGATTTTCCAGGCAAGAACAGTGGAGTGGGCTGCCAGTTCCTTCTCCATTTACAATCATACTAGGATCATATATAGATTTCCTGACTGCCTATGCCAATGAAGGTCATAATTATGTTGATTAGTTCAAGTCATTTTCAATCTGTGGATTTAAAAAAACTGTTAAAAATCAAAGACCATTTATTGAAATTCCAGCTTTGGCTATCATCTTCTGTCTTTGAAAGGTTTTCTTATTGCAGTGATATATTATCTTCAGTGTATGAGCTATAGAATTATATCTTCCACACATCTTTATTGGTAAGTAATATCTAGTTATTTTTAAGGCTCACTGGAATCTGGTCAACATTAATATAAATAACAGGGCACCTAGCTGGCAATAAATAAATGAAACATCATATTCAGATATGTCTGATGAATATTACTTGAATATGTTTGGAGGGTTATAAAATTCTCAAGAGATCTAAATAATACATGTGAAACCAAGTCAACTATTGAGATTTTTAGTTTTAGTTTATATTTCTTCATTTGCTTTAGAGCTAAAGTTTTCCATAGCATTATTGCTAAATGTATACAATGTAATTAAATATTATATAATAGTGATAAATGGGGATTAGAAGGTATTCCCAATTACTCTTCCTTTCAATGCTATGCATTTAGGGAATGTTTTCTAGTCATCTTTTTGGCCAATAAAGGCAAACAGGAAATAGATGAAATTAGCTTAATTATAATTAGCCTGTCCACAAAATACTTTAATAATTTTCACCAACTGGCACACATTCATTCATTCATTGAAGAGGAACTCCTTGAATAGAAGGCATTGGACTAAGCACTGTGGGAGATTCAGTTCTAGAAACAAGGCTACATTAAGTCATCATTAAATCAACAGTGTTTTTCAATGGATTGTAGTAATGTTCACTGAGGACTTCATTTTGCTTCAAAGCAGTCAATCTTAGTAGCTTTGAACTACCAAAGATGACCACAATTCTTTAAAATATAGGTATAAGAATGTGGGCTCTGGGGTCAAATTGCCTGAGTTCCAGCTCCACTCCTTAATAATGATGTGATCTTAGATAAGTTATAGAAATCTCCCTAAGTATCAGTTTCCTTTCCTATCTGTATTAACCACGGGGCACAGTAAGTGCCCAATTAATGTCAATGTACCACAACACAATAATACATTGGAATAGACATTAGTGGTCATTTAATGTAATTTCTCATTTATCTTTATTTCACATCACTGCTATATGTGTAACATATATTGCAACCAGACTGAATTACACATAGTTCTCAACACTGGAAGATATTTAACACTGCTTATAAATTCTCTTCCTCTTCTGGATGACCTAGCAAACTCTTATCCTTCAAGTCTTAGTCCACACATCTTTCACACGTTTGGTCACTTAATCATCATTCAACCTTTTTAATTTTTTTTATTTTTTATTTTTTTTGTTGGAGGCTAATTACTTTACATCATTGCAGTGGGTTTTGTCATACATTGAAATGAATTAGCCATGGATTTACATGTATTCCCCATCCCGGTCCCCCCTCCCACCTCCCTCTCCACCCGATCCCTCTGGGTCTTCCCAGTGCACCAGGCCCGAGCACTTGTCTCATGCACCCAACCTGGGCTGGTGATCTGTTTCACCCTAGATAATATACGTGTTTCGATGCTGTTCTCTTGAAACATCCCACCCTCGCCTTCTCCCAGAGTCCACAAGTCTGTTCTATACATCGGAGTCTCTTTTTCTGTTTTGCATATAGGGTTATCGTTATCATCTTTCTAAAAAAAAAAAAACTCACTCTAAATGGCACCCTTCTGGAAACACAACTACCAGCAAATTACACATAAGTAGAAATGGCGATGCTTGGAAGAGTGACTATTCCATATGCTTCTTAGATCATCTACCACTTTGGAAAATTGATCCCACCTGCTATATGTTCTGTAAAAACTCCAGTCCCTTGCCAGTAAGATACTGTCCCTCAGTGACTGACACACACACACACCCACACACACAAAGGTATAAATGAACTTAACTGACAAAAAAGAAGTAGAGTAACAGATTTAGAAAACAGACTTATGGTTACCAGGGGATAACTGAGGAAGGGATAAATTGGGAGATGGGGCTTGTCGTACACACACACTACTATATATAAAATAGATAATAAAGAACCTACTGCCTAGAACAGGGAACTCCACTCAATACTTTTTAATGGCCCATGTGGAAAAAGAAACAAAAAAAGAGTGGATATCTGTATAACTGATTTACTTTGCTGTATACCTAACACAATATTGTTATAACACTGTATACTGAGACAAACACAATATTGTGAATCAACCATACTCCAATAAAAATTTTTAAAAAAGAAAAAAACAAAAAAGAAAAACAAAAGAAAAAATATAGTTCTCCGAATGTATTCATTCTGTATACTTCTGTACTCCACCAGCTCTAATCAGTTTTCAGAAAGCTTTTAGGCCCATTTCTAAGAGTAAATCAGATACTTAGCTGAGACATAAAGAGTTGTTTGGAAACATTATGAGCAATGGACAAGTATGCAGTGATTAAAGGGACAAATAAAAAGGATGTATTGTGGAGGTATATGGATCACACAAACATCCCATTTCACATGTTAACTGCAAAACACGTTTTAGAACTCTAAGAACTTCTTTGATGACACCTTGTATTAGTTAGGAATTCTTGAAAATGAACATGTGCAAACTTGAAGCTTAATTATATGCTTTGAAAAATAGTGCTTATCTAGAAAAACACAAGGAAAACTGGCAATATGGACATGTGTTCTCATATATCTCTGACATTCTTTAAACAGCATTAAAAGTACTGTGAATAGTTTAAATTTTAAAAAAGAACAAAAAGCACAATTCTATACATGTTTGAATATAAGTGTGTGTGTGTATATCTATATGTTTATGTTTAAATACACATATAAACAAAGATGTTTAAAACTACCCCTTTCAAACAAAAGAAAAGAGAATTTTGCTCACCAAGTCTTTGAGGCAAGGCACAGGATGCTTCAGATGAAGAGATTAAAGTGATAACAGGAGGTGCACTCAGTGCTTCAGACAGAGGAAATAAAAGATGAAAAGGGGATGCTCTGTGCTTTGGACAAACAGGCCCTTAGTTAAATGCATTTCCCGAAGAATTTTAATGAACTCTGCTTTCCATACACAGAAAAGCACTATAATCATTAACTTGGAATATTTGTTCTTTGTAACTAGCAGTGATCTTTTACCAAAATACGTTGACTGCATGTATTCCCTAACATCAAAAAAAAAAATCACATATAAACTAGCTTCCCCACCCCCACCTCTTTGGAGTAGTTCCTCAGTGCTATCTGAAAGCTGTCTCTGGGGCTACAGTTCTCAGTAAAACCCCGAATAAACTTTAACTCACACCTCTCATGCTGCACATTTTTCTCTAAGTCGACACCTTGGATCAACTGTATAAATCTAGTAATATAAATTACTACAAAATTAATTTATGGCTCTTATTACAAAATAAACAAGAAACTGTAACCAAAATTAGAACAAAAAGGCCACCCATCTATCTTCAGAGGACAGAGCTTGTTCTCCAAAAACAGAATAAACTTTCAGTCTTGCTCTCAAAAGGTACCATCACATAGAGGGGAACAGGTTAAGATATTAGGGAAAATAAATACATGGTTGGAACTTTAGCTTTTAGCTAGATTAACCTGGGGAGGAAGAAAAAAAAAGTGCTTAGGAACTGTCCAGAGATAAACTACAGGGTCAGTGGCTATGGCTTTGAAGTCAGGATGTCTTGTTTCTACAGTTTTCTTTTCGTTTATCCACTAACTCCTCGCGACGAGTGCGGGGCTCCCGTCTCAGCGAGCTCAGAGCTAAGAGCTGGGACCACCGTTTCCCCAGGCGACAAGTCCAGCACTGTGCCTGACCTGTCTCTCAGGGGCCACATTACAATAGCGGGCTCACTTTACGTCACTCCCGGAGAGGGCACAGTGTCATTTTGGGGTGTGGGTGAAGCAGTCCTGTGGGAAAACCTAGCCCCTTAGCTCACCTTAGCCGCCCCTCCACCACCCCCCCTACCCCCCACACCCTCTCAAGCTCCAGCTTTCCTAAATGTCCAGGGCCTGAGGGACAGAGGCAAGCCTGGGACGGCTTTGAACACGGTGACTCAGAAGGAACTTTCTTTCCTCAGGAGCCAGAGGCTGGGGCCGCGGGGGGCCAGCACCAAGTGCAGTAGCAGCTTCCAAGGGTTGCGTTGCCGCCCAGGATCCTGGTAGCGCCTCCGTTTCCTGGTTACGTGCGCGCCAGCAGAAACCAAAACCTCCACCCGCGACTTCCGCTTCCCCAGAGGGACTAATGAGCTGGGTACAAGCAGCGTGAGACGTGCCGAACTCTGAGCGCCTCATGGCGGCGGGTGAAACCCAGCAGTCCTGACGCCGGTCCTTCATGGCGCACGCGCAACGGAGCCTGGGCGGAACGGCCCCAGGGCTCCGCCCCGAGGTGGGCGGGCCTGACACCTCCCCTTGGCCAATCAGCTGGCGCATCCTCGCTGCTCTCCCCCTCCCCCCCGCCCCCGCCAGCCTCACTGGGCTCCAGGTTACACGTGCTAGTGTTTGTGTACGTGCGGCTGCTGCTGGGCGGAGAAAGGCGGGCCGCCTAGGGTTGGGCTGCTCGGGCCAAGCCGCAGCTGGGGCACGGCGGGGAGGGGCTGGCCCCCTGGCTCTGGTGATTTTTTAAATTCTCGGGCTCTCGGACGGGCTGTCCACTCTTAACCTGTCCGTCTGCAGCGAGTGCCGCACTGCTCAGCTCTCCCAAGGACTCCTGTCCTCTACTTTAGGCGGGAGATGCTGCTGCTCGATTGCAACCCAGAGGTGAGACTCAGGCTGCTTTGGTCAGGCAGGCTTAAGCTTCCAGATGTCTGTCTTCTAGAGAGGGCTAGATAGGGTGAGGATGTACTGACCACTTGGCGCTGCCAAGTCAAGCCTCTTCAGAGTTGGAAGGTTTTTGGAGTGGTGGAGGATTTCGATCCCCGGAGAGGAGCCTGGACAAAGGCGAGAAGGGGTGCTGGAGCTGTTCTTTTCTCGCAGGTGGATAGTCTGAAGCATCTGCTGGAGACCGGGGCCTCAGTCAACGCACCCCCGGATCCTTGCGAGCAGTCGCCTGTCCACTTGGCTGCAGGTGGCGGCCTTGCTTGCTTTCTTCTCTGGCAGCTGCAGACGGGCGCTGACCTCAACCAGCAGGTAACTAGGCAACTGATTGTTGCTGTGTGCAAACCTCCTCTTCACCCCAAATCCACACATTTCTTAGACGCCAAGGTATTCAGTCGTTTCAGTTATTAGAAACATGACTAGCACAGCGATGCCCATAAAGTGTGAGACACTATGTAACTTTACAGTTTTCCAGTAGCCACATTAATGAAGTGAAACATTTTAGTAAACTGACCCAATTAATCAAAAATATTATCATTTCATGTGTAATCAATATAAAACATAACTGATATATCTCTCTATATATATATAGGATATGCTTTCTCACCCTCTGTGTATTTTACATTGACAGCACATTTCAATTCAGACTAGCCACATTTCAGGTGCTCATTAGCCGGATAGATGGCTGCTGGCTAATACATCGGACGTTTCCAAGGTCTACTGTTCATTTCCAAAGGAACAACTGCTCCATTACAAAATTAAGTCTCAGGGTAGCACAACTTGTAAGACATGCTCACAATCAATGTAATTCCTTACAGAACTTTCTTAGGGTAGTTTGCATCTTCCATTGAATGTTAAATTTTAAATTGTAATTTTTACTTCTGTAGGATTCTATTTTGCTTTTAATCACTTAAAATTTACTGTATGTATGTAGCTGTGACTGCACATAATTTTATTAATGACAATTCTATATTTAATAGGGCACCAAGTGAACTTTATTTTAAAAAAGAATTAAAAAGATTCAGTCCAGTACAATGCAGTTCTAACCCTACTTCCTCAAGCATCAATTTCCACAAGAGTGTTTTGGGGAGATACTAAAATATGCTGTCTTGTATGTAAGGATGTTTTTGGAGAAGCTCCCCTACACAAGGCAGCAAGAGTTGGAAGCATGGAATGCCTCAGCCTGCTTGTAGCCAGTGATGCCCAAATTGAGTGAGTATGGAATCAGTGACTTCAAATTTTATATTTTCTTGGGTTAATCAGACTCCTGCAGCTCAATTACATGATGCTTGCCTAATTGATAATGTAGTGGAACCATTTAAATGTTAGGCTGTTAATGATTATCTGATACTATTCGAGTAAATTAAAAAATGGATCCTAAGCAATCCAAGGTGCAGTTGATGTGTCATGGCAGTATTACATCTCAGTTTTGTTTTAAAAAATCCAGATGTTCTCACTGACTTCCTTGGTGTACTCACTCATTGTACTGAAAACAGAATACTCTTCTATTTGTGCAGAAATGAAGTACCCATTCTGTGCTGTCCTCTGTGCTAATTAAGGACAAATAGTGAGCAAACATGGGAGTTCCTCTATGCTTCCTTTACCTCTTTTATTCTGCAACCAACATTTGTATGATCCCAAAGCACCTTTGTTAGAAATATACTTTAAAAAGGCTAAACAACTGTCAGCTTTTACTTGAACACTTTTTTTTTTGTCTTAAACTTAGTTTATGTAATAAGAATGGGCAAACAGCTGAAGATCTTGCTTGGTCATGTGGATTTCCAGAATGTGCCAAGTTTCTTACAACAATTAAATGCATGCAGACAATAAAATCAAGGGAACAACCCAATAAAGATCATTGTGTTCAAGTGCTCAGACAGAAACGAAGTTTTGGAAGTGAAGAAAATACAAATGGGAAAAGGAAGTGTTGGTAAGTAATTCAGTTTCTTCATTCTTCCTCCCTTAAGGATCTCTTATTTAAAACAGAATTTGTTTCGTTTAAATATCGCCAGTCTTATGTCTTGTGTATCTTTTCATTCTCATTAACACATTTTAATACTGGATGTAGTAACTACTAGACTTTAGAGACCAAAAATTGTCCTGCATGGTGGAAGATTGGGGAGAAAACCTTTTTAAAAAAAGGTTTTAATGTTAATATGTATTTCAATAACAGATGTATTGGTCATGAAGAGGTGTGGAGAAAGTCTTCACTTAATGCAGGTCTACTGCTCAGCTACGAGCTGTGGCTTCTGGCTCATCAAGTGTGTCTAAACTCCTTCTAAGAAGGAGGAAACCTTTCTTCTAAGTGAAGATAACATTCAAGAATACATGTATTTACATGCCTATAATGTTCTGGTTGTGCACGCTTTGTCTCGTAACTTATTAAAAGAATGTCTAGAGAATAAATTGTTTTCTTTGTGATATTTACCACCTTTGGAAAAACTCATAAAAACCATCAAACCACCCCCAGGATTTAATTTGAAATCAAATTTATTCTTTATCAACAAAGTTACAACTTTACTACAGTCTATAAGTCCAAGATATTTTAAATAGTATTTGGTCGCTGAGGGAGACATAAGTTATAGTAAGCATCCTTGTTCCAAAACTCTGGGCCCTTCCATCCACACCAGCCCTAGATGTTGGAGAAGGGAAAGGAAAACCTTTTACAAAGTTACAGGACTACATAATTGAAATGGTAACATTTTACAATTGAATTTTGCAGTAAGACTGTAAATACCTATACAGTGCAAGTATCTGAATTCCTATTAAGCACAGAAAAGTAGCTTATTTGGGTTCACTTCAGATAGAATTTTAAAAATTTTAATTCTATGATATTTAATCATAGAAATCATTTAAAAAAGGAAAAGCTTCATTACAGTACTATTACTCAATGTCATATTTTATTGATTTTTAAGATGTATGGTTTTATCATTCTGGTAGTCGATGGCAGGTGATAATTTAACTGCCATCTGTCCCATGGAAGACTGTATAGACAGTGAGAAAGGCTATGGGCCTTTTCATTAAAAGTGGGCCTCCCCAGCCACTGATTTCCCAGCAGTGGCATCTCAGCAGTGATACGAGGTAGTCAAGGAATCTGAACTTGCCCTTGGGAGTTGCATTCTACAATCTTCATTTTCCTCAGGCCGTAATCACTGCCACTTCCCAGTTTCATGTCAGTATTTTTTCCAGCAGAGAAAATTTCTTTCAAACAACATTTCATTGGGAATATAGTTAAGTGCATCAAATTTCTTCTAGGGCCATTAATTTATTTTCTTAAAGACCCAGCTAATGACTTGTCTGAGTTACATCATTCTGAAATGAAACGCTTGCTTACACATACTTGTTCAGAGGTTAGTGAGGACTCAAAATGCCATTGCGTTGAGTGACAGGCAGTGAGTGGTCTTGCTCCTTTACCCTACCTAACTGGGAGTGGAGTGTGTGAGTGCGTGCTCAGTCATGACCTACTCTTGTGACCCCATGGACTACAGCCAGTACCTGGCTCCTCTGTCCGTGGGATTTTTCAGGCAAGAGTACTGGAGTGGTTTGCCATTTCCTCCTCCAGAGGATCTTCCCAACCCAGAGATGGAACCCGAGTCTCCTGTGTCTCTTGCATTGGCAGGCGAATTCTTTACCACTTGAGTCATCAGGGAAGCCCACCTAACTAGGAGGCTGCTGGGCATTCTGACAGGGACCTAAAGTCAAAGGTCATAGTTCCTACCGAGGAAGATGGTATGTTAGCCTGTTTTTCAGTGTGGGGGGCGGAGGGTTGAGTAGAGATGCTCTTTAGGTCTTTATTCTTTTTCTGATTGCAAAAATAAGATACATAAAAAAAAATTCAAATGAAGTCAAAGTAAAAATTAAAAAATCCTCTACGAGTTCTGCTCCCCCTGCCTACAGATACCACCATTAAGTCTGGTTTATTTCCATTGAGAGTCGTTTCTTTATATAAAATTCTTTTTATCATCTCATTTTTTCAGCAAAACTTTCTATAATGAATTTCATGTCCTAAAATTGTTTTCTCAACGATAGAAAAAGGTTTATACTTTCTGTTTTGATCTTTCACACATGTGGGCCATCTCTAGGTAACTGGTCTCAAATTTTTTTCAAGAGAAGTGGGTAGAGACAGCACCCAAACCAGAAACTGGGAGTAAGTAGAGGAGCCGGGCATCTTTCTTTTGAGGTGACTGACTTAGGGAACTCACACAGGAAAGCTCCCCAAGTGGGCAGAGAGAGGTCAGGCAGAGGGAGGACTGTCCCTCCAGGCCCCTGCCACAGACTGAATGTGTCTAAGGCTTGTATGATGAACCCTAATCTCCAATGTGCTGGCATCTGGAAGCGGGGTCTCTGGGAGTTGACTGGGTTATGACAATACAGCCATCATTAAAGAGTGCCCAGACAGCTCCCTCATCCCTTACATCATGTGGGGACCGTGAGAAAGCCTGCCGTCTTTGAACTAGAAGGTGGGCTTCACCACCCACAGATCAGCCAGCACCTCCATCCTGGATTTCCCAGCCTCCAGAACTCTGAGAAAGAAACCTCTGCTGCTATAAGCCGCCCCCTCTACCGTGTTCTGTTACAGCAGCTCTAAGGCTTCTCACAGCCTTTAAGATAAAGTCTGAACGCGTGCGTCTCAGCCTGGCTCTCAGTGGCCATCCTGACTTAGCTCCTGCAGACCCCTCTAGCCATCAGTCACCCCTCTCCACCAGCTCAAGTCATGTTAAAAATGCCCCAGTTCTCAGAACATGCCCAGCTTTCCTTTTACTGACTTTGAGTGATCCCTTTGCAAGGACAGTCTTGTAAGCGCCACCAACGATACCATATTTTTGGGGGGAAGCAGTCCTTTATGGACTCCCCTTCTTTGTCTTTCTATACTAGACAAAGAGCTCTTTAAAGATCCATTTTAATACTCCAGTGCTTAGGACAGTGGATGGTAAATATTAGGTACTTAATGAATGTCCAATGAATGAACACCTTGCTACAGAAAGACAGTCAATATTGCTCCTATTTTCAGGAAGATATGTATACCAGCCAAAAACATGTCATAGACTTAGAAGTCCAAATGGCTTCAAAGAGAAAATTTTGTGTATGTGGCGTTTAAAATTTTAAGAATGTGTTTATATCCTGTTAGTATTTATAGATGCTCCAATAATTGGCAATAGACTTTACTAAAGTGGGGATATAAGAGTTCAGCTACGTAAAACAGCAAGAACTCTAACAAACATCTCATTCCCAGGGCTTTAGTAATCTCATACAGCTATATTCAGTTTTGAAGATCTCTCGTAAGTGAATTTCAATGTTAAACCATCCATTTCCCCAGAATCCCGTAGGATTTTGGATTTAAGAAATCTTTTTATTGGTACTAATGACTTATTTGGCAAAAAATGTGAAACTTTTAAAAGACTCAAGTTAATTGTGTCTTATAACACTTGCCTCTGAAAGATTTAGTACTGAGTTTCATGGAAATTTAGTACTAATTTCTCATTAAAACTCAGTACTAAATCTGAATTAGTTGCTTATAAATTAACGTAAATTTATACCTCCTTTAGTTGGTAGTTTAAGCATTAACAAATATTCTTAAATTTGTTTCAAATTCAAATCTTTCATAGAATGAGATTAAGTTATATGTAAATATATATATATATATATATATATATATATAAAAGCAGTCAAGTCTCCATAATGTCCATCATACTGCCAATTTTTGGTTAATTTGAAAATTATAAATGTTATATATTTCACTCTTTTTTGAGGCATTGATAAATCTCACTATATTTACAAAACGCTGTAAAGTCTCAAAGGAATATATTTATGAGTTTCATACTCTAATACTTTAGTTCCCCCCTGGCCTTCATATCTAGAGAGAGTTACTCATCACAGGCTTAGAGTCCTTCCTTACAGTGAGGATCTCTGCTCTCAGTTTACAATCCATCTTTCTGTTAGCTTCCTCCTTTGGTTTTGGGTTATTTTCCTTGTATTTATTTGTTAAACAGACACTTACCTTTTCCAAAATAACCTGCAGATCTTCAGCACCTGTATAATGTGGATCTAAAATCAGAAATTTTATCTGTCCTGTAATTTCATTCCATGCAACTCCTAGTATTGTGTGAGCCAAAACTCCTCCCCCTATACAAGAGGAAATAAAATGACAGGGCATATGTCAGTCTCAACCTCCCAATCAATTTCAGTTGAAAAAGATTATTTTGCCTATGAATTGATCTAACATAATATTAAAATTGATTGACCTAAACTGGAAAAGACATAATGTCAAATATACTCTGAAAAGACAAAATTATATCTTAAAGACAGAAAAGATACAATCACATCTATAATCATATTAGGTTTCTGTGCCACTTTAATATTCATGGAATTACCTAAACTGGATTTAAGAAGGTCTAAATCCCTCACACAGGGTAACCACCGTTGCTGCTGATGCCTCTCCCAGCAGACAAGCCATGTTACCTCTGCTCCGAGTGCCTCCAGTGGTGCAGCCCGTCTACTCAGTCACTACTTCCTGTAGTTTGCTGACATCTGCCTACCTGCATTTCTTACACACCAGTCTTAGCTTGCCTTCTGTCATCCAGGACAAGTCTTATTTCTCATAGAATCATGAATCTTTAGATTAGCGAATCCAATTCTCTTATTTTACAAAGAAAGTCTAGAGAGGTTAAGTAATTTGCATAATATCACACAGCAAGCCAAGTTCCCGACAGCCATGACTTCCGATGCTATACTGAGTGACCATTGCCTCTTTTCCATTCTGCTATAAAGTCTTTATTTGAACACAGTTATCAAATCTCTTCTTAGCCTTTACTACTTCTAGTTATTATAATCTTTTTTATAACTTTCTTCCCACCTTGGAAATTTTAAAAAATATCTAGAGGTCAGTACGCATGATGTAAAAGCTAATTTTAATATGTTTACAAAGGACTGATATTATGTGCCATTATGTATTTACATTAACAGTAAGTTTCACATACTCTCCATCTACTAAAAGAACATAAGATTGCAAAACACCTTACCAATCATTATTGGAGTTCCTTCACTCTGGAAATGATTAGCCAGTTCTCGTCCCTGAGAGGCCATTTCAGAACCTTGGCTAGAAAGAAACCAGTTTCTATCAGATGAACTATTCTGAAGATCAAATGAGCTTGGGAACTAATGTTTTCTACCTTTTTGGTTTCTTTTTTGGTTACTAAAAATATAGATATAAATTTAAGCAAAATTAACTGGTAGGGAACTGAGAGCAATTTAAAGCAATACAACCTCTAAATATTTAAGGTCACTAAATGAGGTAGGAAAGAAGACCTTGATTCTTTGCTTCTAGAACTGCATAAAGGTTCTGGATTTTTAACCACCTAAGATTGAAAGTGGTCATTTTGATACTGAGGGGATTCTTATAGGTGGATTTAATTTCAGAAGGACAGGTTTTAAATCCTGGGATTTTGTCTTCATACTATCAAACTCTGAGCCTGTAATTCCTCATCTTTAATCTGGGACCAAAAATACCTGCCCTTCTATGTGACAGGAGATTCTAGGACTAAAACAGACAATGTCTGTGTAGCCAATGTGAAAACTGCAAAATGTTTTCAAGTACAACATATTTTTGGGGAATATTTTAATATCATACAATTTTTACTTCTGAGAATAGAAAAGATGAATAGATGGAAGTTGTTTTTTTTTTTTAGAATGGAGGTGCCAGGTGGTGCTAACCCTTAGCTCTTGCTTTGTAAGGAATGTATGAAATAACATTTTCATGTGTCAAAACTTTCACTTTTTAATCACTACCTACTTCACTACTTAATCGATTATTTGTTAGTGCTGATTTCCACATCCAATTCAAGTTGCAACTGTGAAATCAGATGTACTAAAGTACTTGGACAATAGGATAATGACATTAGTTATCAAGGTTGTCATAATAAGTGTATTAAAAACATAAGCTCATATATAAGGAGTAAGCTAGAGATGGTCATAGAAATCAATCTTCTCTAATATTTGCTCATATTTTAATACTAGAATTGTGATTAAAATAGTAATATTCTATTTTTTAAAGATGAGGAAAAGAAAATTTCCTATTATAAATATCTTATTTATAAGTTTTATATTCCTATATTATAAATTTCCTATTTCCTATATAAAATTTCCTATTATAATAGATAAGGAAAAGATAAAATTATATTTGGATATATTATTAGTTTATTAAAATCTCAGGAAGCAAAAGAGTGGGAAGTAAACAAAAAGGTCAGTCATAGATCAATATTTGATTTTTCCCTTCTAAGACTTCAATGATTTCTGCATTAAAAAACCAGACCTTCTGTACCTACTCAAAGTTGGCATATTTCCAAGTTTTCCTCTTCCAGACTAAGACTAGGCCTAGACTATACAAGTACGTATCACAAAGTTTACTCACAAACATCTTCTAAAAAATAACAACAAAGAAATTGAGGACTGGAGAAAATGAGATTCATAAAGCAAGGGGGCAATGTGGAGGAAGAGAAAAGGGCGAAAACAAATTGGGGGAAAAATGCACTTTTTTCTTTTAATAAAAGTGACAAACTCTCTTTGAAGTGATTTCTCAAATTGCTTAAAGTTTCCTTACCTGACAAACAGTATTTTTGAAGTTACACCAATCAAATGGTTTAGCACCAGCTGTACCTCGATAGATCCAATCCACTGCCGTGATCCGACAAAGGTTGCTGGTTTGTCCCCAGCATCAACTAGAGCCTTTATTTAAAAATACAGAAAAAATCATACACAAGACAGCTATTAAAGATTATGTACAGGGCATTTCCCTTGATTACCAGTATATGTTTTTTCCCTTCAAAACAGAAGTAAGTCTGGACCAGGAGGTAGGCATAATTATTTAATGGTATATTAGGGTTCATGAAACTTCCATATAATTCAAAATGGTGTGTTCTGTACCTGCTGGATTTCTCTGTGTGTTGGAATGGATCTCTCTGTGTATCCCTGGTGTTTGAACCAGGAGCAGATAGTCTGCAGAGACCGATAAGCACAGCCCCAGCCATTGTCATCTATTCGATCCTGCATATAATGATGGTAACCGTATGTGCCCTGGACCACATAAACCTATATAAAAAGAAGAAACACAGTAAAATATTAACTTTAGATGTATATATTATACATATACATATGTATATCATCGCTTAAGATAACATTATATACACACACATGCTCGAGTCATTTACTGTTTTCAGAGCTAGATTGTTACTTTTAGTGCCTTATAAAAATTTTTTTAAAAAAGAAAAAATACTCTCCAACTCTTTCAGTGTATCAGTGTATTACTGATACAAAAGTGAAGTAAGAACAGTATGAGAAAATAAAATTATAAGACAATATCATTACATAAATGCAAAAATCTTAACAAAATATTAAGTCCCTCAGAGAATAAAAAAATAATTAATCATAATCAAACATCCCCTGGACACAAGCAAAAAACAATTAATGACACTAATGATCAACTAACTCCTATAAATAATTACTAAACTCACCATACCAGTCTCTATGTTAGGTGGATTGAGATAAGCATGTGGATTTCTAATGTAACCATCTTTGTATGGTTCATCTGGAAAATGATAAGCATTAGACCTTTTGAAATAAGGTCTGTCATGAGGCAGATTGAAGAAATCGTGTAACTCCTAAATAAAACCAGAATTAACAGGAAAGAAGAGAATAAAGGTTAAATGATATAGGTTCCTAGTCAATAAATAAACCCCAACTAGATTCAAAACAGAAAATTTAAGTTATCACACACTTATGATTTAATTCATGAAGCTCAAAGAGGATGAGCTTTAAACTAAAATCAAAAAGGATTTATTTTTGTTCATTTATGTATATGGATAGAAACTGGAAGAGAATACAGAAAATTGAAAATAACTTATTAGCATGAAAGAACCGAGATAATTTAAAATTACTTATTGTAACACAGTCTGCTAAAATAAATCCAGGCTAAAGAGTAGTTTTGAAAGTCTTGTAAATGAGTAAATTATAATTAACAATGATATAACTATATCAAAAAAATCATGCTTAGGTTTTTATTTTTAAAAATCATGCTTAGAGTATTTAACAAATATAAGGGGTAGTGATTAGGTTACAGAATGGAAATTGGTGGTTTAAAGACCAATATGGCATCAAAATAAAAATACACATATATGTTTAAAAGGCAACATATTCCTTAATGTATAAAAACATGTAACAGTTACTCTGAAAGTCTGACATCTTCTTTTTGATATCTCCTATGTATTCCAGCAGTGTGAATGAGATCATTAGCTTGTGTAACTGCTGCCTCTGCAAACCAATTCATCTGGCACTTACAGAGAGGCACAGAGGGTTACAGTGTTACATCTCTTTTCAGGGACAGAGACTGGGAAGATGTTTCCATGGTATAATTTGATGGGTACTAGGCAAGGCCAAATATCAAAAATATATACTACCAAAAAATACATATATATACACACTATCAAACCAGTCATTTGCCAATAAATCTCATTTCTTTGAATGTTGATCATGTTTTCTTCAAAACACCTCTAAGAAAACCCAAATGACCCTGAGAGGTGGGGGATGGAGTAATACTACAAATCCTAATTAGAAACAGGATAAATTCTAATTTCCCTTCTCTAACTGTAACCCTGTCTCTTTTGTAAATCTGCAAGTAATGGAAAAGAAAAGGAAGTTTTATTAAATAGCACTCATCAGCTACTCTAGGCATGTAAGCATCTTTTCGTTCTTAAATTTCAGTATAGAAAAATTACAAATGAACTTCACCGAATATGTGAAATTAAAATGTTACATATGATTCAGCATAATAATTTTTTCTTAAAAATACTTTAAACAGTTACATAAGAATAGACATTAAATAAGATGTAAAGCCAATAGTGTTCATCCACACTTTATAAAATTAAATCACAAAACACTGGCTATTTATTAGAAGCACAAAATTAAATACAAAATGAATGATATTTTTATTTTTCTAAGAATGAATTGGTTTTACCTTTCTATAGGCCTGCAGCTGACCATCTGGAATTCCTGATGGATATGAAATTGTTACAAGATTTCTTTCACCTGGTAATAAAAAGTGCAGTGGCTCAGGAACCACAATAGATGTTCCTTTCATGTATTTCAAAATGCATTTTTCCATATCAGTTAGTTGATTATGAATTGCATCGACCAGAAGTTTACGAACTCTGTGGGAGGGAAATACACAAGTGCATTAACAAAAGTTATAAAAGTTATGATACATGGAAGTGTTGAGTGAATATATTCCTAATATGCCCTTGATAGGACTGGATTTATTAAATTAAGTCTAAATAATAAAAAGTTAAATGTTAAATAGACTAAATTTCTTCTGTACAGATAAATGGAAAATTCTATAGGTTTGGCATATTATCTTACTTCCTCAATAAACAATGAATTACTAGATGACTCTTAATTTAGTAAGAAACAAGGAGTAAATCATAGTAAAAAGAAAATAACCACCCTAGATATGCCTCAATGACACTTAAAAATACGATGTGATTACTTTGGGGGAGGGTCCTCATTTAAAGGTGGCAGTAGTATTAGAAAATACCTACTTTCCCCACGTTTCTTCTGGAGCAACAGATAAAACTGCATCAACTGGTAAAGTCATACTAACATAGTGGTGTCCTCCGCTTTCTCTTTCAATAATGGGCGTTACAGCTGCCAGAGGGGTCGACACTTCCAGCATCAGATCTATATTTACTATTTGATGCTATAAAGTAAACAGTAATAGTTAACTTAAAGCACACTGAACAATAATATAAAAGGTAAGTAAAAGGACTTTTTAAGGACCATATACACTGTATTAACAGTAAATTATTTAAAAGCACAATTCTTAGCTTAAAGAAAATTCTTCTCTGCTTCAAAATAATCTGAGGAGAGGCAGAGAGTGAATGCAAAGTGAAGATGAAATCAGATCATGAATCCATAAGCATTAAAAGTTCACTATGGTTCATTGTCCTATTCTATTTTTGTATAGATTTAAAATTTTCAAAAAAAAATAAACAAGATATAATAACCACAGATCAAGGCAACTTTTAAACATATGTTATAACTATATACCTCTGCTCTAAAGACATACTAATAATGAACTCTATTAGAAAGGTTTGATTTTGATAGTGGTATGGAAAAACAATTCTGAAAATGCTTTCTGTATATTAAACAAATTTAGCAAAATATTAAGAGTACTGGAAGCCAGGTTTCTCACTGGGAAAAGGTTAGGAATTGTGTGAGGCTGAAGTAGAACTAGAGGTATATGATTTACATGGGTAAATATTGAAGTGTGCGTTATATATGTATAGTATGTGTGCATACATGTCTGTCTTCCTTGGGGAAATGGCTGATTCCTGAGATGAAATAGCAAAAGTACATGAACCTGGAACATCCTTGGAAGAAAGTACGAAGTATTCAAAAGTACAGTATCAAGAGAACACAGGAGCCAGCATGAAGTGTCTCTTGGCCAAATTAGAAAATATGAGCATCAAAATAACTGAAGACAGTTAATAGACAACTCATTGCATAAAACAGGAATCCATGCTTCCACGCAGTTAATACACAGGGAAAAGGAAAAGCTCTTCCTTACAGTACAAAGTCACCTTGTAAATATAAAAGAAAACAACAGACTTAGAAAAAAATCAGCACTTTGCAACCATCAGATTAATGCTAGATTCTGACAAAAATTATCAATTGATGTTAGAAGCGTTGGGTAAAAACTTGATGAGGAATAGGATATATACATAAACTCAAAGCATCTTCCCACAAGATACCTTCTAATTATCAGGGCAAAAAATAGGACCCTCCCAGTGGAGAAAGGTGGCAGTTACCACATTAAGTGATCATCGTTAATGTCACTGATACGAGAACCAACTAAGTATATGCCTCTTTCACATGATGTGCTGAGGACACACATTACTTCTTTGGTATTCCTATCAACAACGACCACCTGAACCTACCATAAGGCAGCCTAGAACAAACTCAAGCCCAATCCGAGAAACACTCTATAAAATAACTGACCTGAACCCTCAAAATGTCAACCTCCAACTACCAGTAATTCTCAAATCCTTATCCAAAGTCCATAGTTTTTTTGTACACTCCACATTTAAAAATCTCACAGCTCAGGTCAACACCTCACTGGTGTCTCAAACATGGTAGCCTCACATCTTCCCTATCTCCCATCTTTACCCAAGCAAGAAGCTGGTCATCCCACGTCCAATTAGTCTCCAAGTACAATCCTTTTCATTACCTAAATATTTCTTGTATCCATTCCCTTCTCTTTATTACTATAGCTACTGGTTTCGTTCAGATTCCCCCGGGTGCTCTGTGTCCACATCTCTAACCCCATGTCCACTCTATTATTCTTACTAGTCTGGAAAAATGCTACAGTCATATTAAATATTAACTTTGTACAACTTCCTGCCTTGAAGTAGCTGCTCCGTTTTTCATCTCTAATACCTGGCAAAGTTTGTGGCACGTGGCAGATACTTAACAGTACTGGTTCAAAAATTGACAGAACCAAAACTGTGAAGAAAAGTAAATCACTTATCATTTACTATTTCATACAGCATAATGTGTCACTGTAATGTTTCAGAATGATTCCTTTTTAAATAATTTGTGAACATACTCAAGGACAAAAGTTTAGATATATAGAACAGAGGTATAACCTTGGGCAAGTCACTTAATCTTTTTGGACTTGAATCATCTGATCTGTAAAAAAAAAAAAAAAAGTAAGAACTTTCTAAGATCTCACTCAACTCCAAATTCAAGGATTGAAGATATTTATCACTAAGAAGACAGGTGATTTGCTTACCGTATCTGGTAACTTTTTATCTTTCTTCTTCATGAATTTTCGTTTTGTACCTTCTTCCGATTCAAATCTAAATTTTCAATACACGGAGATGTTTATAATGTGAAATGATACTGTAAAAACATTTCTAGCAATCTTTAAGCATACTCACTGAATAAAGCGCATTATGTTCTTACAGGCAGAGCTATCTGTCAGCTCTCCTGGAATGGTGTTCATGTCACTGTTAGGCCATATGTACACTGAACTGTGGCAAATTCTGAACACAAGGGCATTGGAAGAAAGCTTGGTTGACAGGTCACTCAGTACATGTTTTAATGCGTTCTTGATAAAAATTTCTAAATTAAAAGAATACAAATAGAAGTTAGTAAGAAAAACTGTACACTTTTCAACATGAAGGCTTCCAAGCACACAAAAGTAGGGCACCGTAAAAGTGGCCCCCAAACATCCATTCCTCAGATTCAATAATGTAAAAAAAGTTTGTCTTTAAAAAAACTGAGATAAAATTCATAGACCAGAAAATTAATTCATTTAATGTGTACAATTCAGTTGCTTTTAGTATACCACAAGGTTTACAATCATTCCGTCACCCCCAAATAAACCCTGGACTTCCCAGCAGTCATTCCCCAACCTCCTGCACTCACCCATGGCAATCACTAACCTATTTTTGGTCTCTATAGATTGGTTTACTATCGATACTTCATATAAATAAAATCACACATTTTGTGGCCTTTTGGGTCTGGCTTCTTTCACTCAGCCTAATATCTTCACGATTCATCCAACTGTGACTCCATTCCTAGCATGAATTAGCTTTTTTATGGCTGAATAATATTCTATTATATGACCAGAACATACTCTGCTTATTCATTTGTAAGCTGATACATGTTTGGGTTGTTTCTATCTTTTCGCTATCATGAATAATGGTTTTACAAGTATTTGTGCACAAGTTATTGTGTGGATATATGTCTTTAATTCTTTTAGGTAATAACCCTGAAGGAACTGCTGGGTCATATGGTGAATCTCTTTTTGTGGAACTGTCAAACTGCTTTCTAGAGGAACTGCATCATTTTATGCTCCTATCAGCAATGGATGAGGATTCCAATTACTCTCAAAATACCATATTACTTATAGAAATAAAACTCTGGAGTGAGATTTGAATTTCTTTGTAATTTTCTTCTTCAGACTATATCCCACTAAGACTGTACAAAGTATTGTGTTCTTAAGTTCTCTTTTGCTCTATGTGGTATGTCATCAACCTGATATTTGTCTGACTTCATTTTCAGTGATTTCCTTTTTACTCAATAGAATTTTTTGAATATGAAAAACATTTTCATGGTTCCAAAGTCAAAACTATATAAAAAGATACATCTGAAGAAGACAATATTTAAATATTTGTCCTAGCTTTATACTCCTAAATCCTAAACCTATTTAACTCTGTGGTTAAAATATTTATTTAACTATCACATTGATATCTTGATAAATAAACACCTTGAGATTGTAGGAGAGAAAGATTACTTATAACACGTCAGATATAAAGGCATCCTGATATGTTTCAGAAATCCAAATCTAAAGATTTATAGTTTCACCACAAAAGACAAACATAATTCCTGGATTATCTTCTGTCCATCCCTAAAGACCATGAAATATCTAAATAACTGCAATGTCTTTAAAGTTAAGCACTCCATTCTCAGTATTTCCTCAGTAATGATTCCCTTCATGGAGCGTTTCAAAGACTTGGGTACAGGAGGAAGAATACTATAAAGTCTGAAGACAAGCTCAAATACATCAATTATTTGCGTAAAACGTATCTGCAGTCCCTATTTATACTTGAAATTACATCATTATGTCTGCTGAATGACAGATCAGTTATACTTTGTAGTAAATTCATACAAAGGATAACTTCAATTTATAGCGAGTTGTAAAATGTAAGGCTTTATCCACACACTGCATGGGAGCTCAGTTGTTAAGTTGCATCTGATTGTGTGTGACCCCATGGATTAAGCCTCGCCAGGCTCCTCTGTCGATGGGATCTCCCAGACAAGAATACCAGAGGGAGTTGCCGTTTCCTTCTCTAGAGGATCTTCCTGACTCAGGGATCCCATCTGTGTCTCCTGCATTGGCAGATGGATTCTTTACCACTGAGCCACCAGGGAAGGCCAAGGAACAATACTTTCCTGATAAGATAGGCTTAAAAATGAGTCTGATTTAGTTCTTGCAAAACAATTCTCATCCTGATGGCACATTAGAGAATCAACGAAAAAACTTACTGATGCCGAAGTCTCTGTCCTGGAAACTTACTTTAATTGGCCGGGAGTAGGAATCAGAATGTGGGCCAACACGAATAATTTTTTAATATGAAGGGATGCGTCAGAAAGAATATCTTGCATTCTCTCCCTTCCTCTTTCCAAGGGGCCAGTAAATAATCATCAGCTGGTGATCTCCTTGAAGGAACTCTGACACTGTTTATTCCTCACCTTTCTGAACTTCTCTGTGGCTCCTGACACCCTTGATCATACTTTTCTTGAGTGATTTCATCTAATACAATGCATTAACTATCATCCTCATAAGATATTAAGTTCTCTGTCTCCAATTCTGACCACTCTCCCCCAAGTTTCAGACTCAAGTTACCAACTGCCTGCTGGGAATTTACACTTGATGTAGTGTGGCATTTCAAATGAAACACATCTCAAACATAGCTCCTTGTCTTCCTCCTCTGATATCACTTGGCTTGGTTTGCGGCAGCAGTCAGAAACAGGAAGACATCCTAGACTTTGGCTTATACCAACACTGCTGAGCTTTCTCCCATAGAACCTGCCTGACATTCCGAAACCACACGACCCCACAGAGTGGGTTCTGGAGTCTTGGGTGTGCAATGTGTAAGTGTATTTCAGTGTGCAATGTATAAGTCTAGCTGTCTCATTTACATTATGCTCACAGTGGATATTTATATTTATTGTGACAATTTTCTTGGAGAGGGCAGTAAAGTTTCTTAAATAAGGGGGCATCTTTTCTTAACGTGCAGCGGAGCCCCATGGGCTAGCAGTGGTGGGGAACACAGTTTCTAAGTTTAAATCCAATTCGTATCACTTACTATTTGACCTTAGACATTTATTCACCCTCTCATTCAGTTTCATTTGCAAAATGGTGAGATTCTCACCATTGCTTTTACAGTAAAAAAGGAGAGTATCTTGGCAGACCTACCATTAGGAGTAGCTAGCTGAAAAGCTAGATCAAGGCCACCTCTTATTCTGAACAGTATATCCATAGTCTCTGAAATAACCTAAGACAAATAAAACCAAAATTTCATTGTAAAACAAAAGAAACATCCTCATATAAATTAGAATCCAACTGAATTTAGGTCAAGGTATAAATTACCTTGACTTTTCAAATTATTTCATGAGTTAATTCCTTGCTTTATGGAGAAAAACAAAACACAATCAGTTCTGTATTAGAGGGTCTCAGCCTTTGCTCCACATTGAAATCACCTGAGGATTTTAAAGCACCCATTCCCGGGCTATACTCCCAGATATTCTGATAAATTCGTCTGGGGAGGGTATCTAAAAAACTCTTCTATGTCAATGATTCTAAAGGAAAAAGGCTGAGGACCACACTGCTCTGGGACAGTATTTCTAAATTACAGTCTTTGCAATTACAGGGTTTAACACCACCGTGAAAAGATCAACAGTCAAGAAATGGCTTAGGAATGGGACAGGAACGCTGAACCTACTCTGATAACCACTGGTGGGCAAGGCAGCGAGAGGAAACTAGTATATCACTGATGGTGGGAGTATGAAGTGGAAACTCTCAGAATCCATCATAGGGTGATGCGGCGATAAGAATCGGAAGTCTTACATTCACATTCTGGGTCTAGTAATTCTGCATATAGAAACTTAATCTAAGGAAATCTGCAAAACACACAAAGATTTGTGTATACAGATGTTAACCTGTCAACAAAAGGAGACCAATTAACAATTACAAATATTATATAGCAATGAAAAATCACACTTTCTGTGAATATTTAATGCTGTAGGAAAATGCCTGCAAAGGGGGAGAAAAAAGCACTTGTAAAATGAAATTATTAGCAGTTCTTAATTTGAGTCCATATGCTGAGTTTCAGGTAGTTGATGACATATGACAAAAGACATACCATTTTGCGTGGGGAGAAGCGTGGGAAAGAGGAAGGCAACCTCTGGGAAAAGGTTTCAAAGATTTCATCAGAGTCTCAAAATATGCCTCGAACAAGATGAAGAAACATACTACAGAGTAAGAGCCCTATTTTTAACTAAATCAGTAAGTACTACATTTACTGAACTCTTAAAAAGTAGAAGGCACTATGCTAAATGACTGGACATATATTAACTTTGATACTCAAAAGAGGTACCATTACTATTTTTCGCATTTATAATCCCTGTTACATTGTTCCAATGGTGACTGCTTTTATTTTCCACAAATTATAACGTATTGAAAGGCCATGCCCTTTGCCCCAGTTATACTACTTGGAATTTATCCTACAGAAATAGTCAAGAAAGTTCAGGACAAAGTTACCTTGAATGTGGTCCACTTATTGTATTGTTGTTCATCACAGCAAAAAACAAACAAAAAAAATCCCACCTAAATAGCTATCAATAAGAATCTGTTAAGTATAAGAAGTCGGTTAAATACTATGTACCTATTTGAATAAAAAATGTTTAATGGCACTGAAAGATACTGAAGATAAAAGTCAGCAACAGCAACACTTACCTGTGACTTTCTGTATGACCTTGTAACTAATCACTCAAATGTGTTTTTTCTGTAATATTGGAAAAATATACATCACAGGGTTGTCCCAAAGGCTCTATAAGAGATCTTAATTGAACACACTAGAATCTTCTTATACTTCTGAATTGAGACTCTCTCTGAAGAAACAATATTTAAACTGAGGTCTGAGGGGTAAGTAGATAAGAGTATTCCAAAGGAAATACTCCAAAGAACATTCCAAATTCTAAGGAAAAGATAGGGGTGAAGGTGGCCAAGCCTCTCCCAGGCAGGGGCCTGACTGAAGGCCTGCTTAAAAGACCACTTAAGAGAACAGAGCAGAGGGTTAGATCTCATGGCGCCAAGGACAAGAATAGCTAGAGACTGTGATGACTGGCAACCATTTAGAGGTCAGTCGTGTCCGACTCTTCGCGACCCCATGGACTATACAGTCAGGCCAGAATGCTGGAGTGGGTAGTGTTCCCTTCTCCAAGGGATCTTCCCAACCCAGGGATCAAACCCAGGTCTCCCGCATTGCAGGCGGATTCTTTACCAGCTGAGCCACAAGGGAAGCCCAAGAATACTGGAGTGGGTAGCCTATCCCTTCTCCAGGGGATCTTCCCGACCCAGAGATTGAACCGGGGTCTCCTGCATTGCAGGCGGAGTCTTTACCAACTGAGTTATCAGGGAAGCCCCTGTAGATTCCATAGGATTTGGTCACGGAACAGATAGATGTTCAGGAGTTGCGAAGAGGGCGATGTCAAGAATGATTTCCAGGTGTTTGGCATGAAAAACGGTGGGGTGGGTGGTGGCGCAATGATCTGAGACAGGGGTCACTAGAGGAAGAGCAGGGTGAGGTGGGGATGTCAGTTTTGAACTTGCTGAGTTTAAAATATATATGCGCCAACCAAGTGGCGGTACAGTTAATAGATATGAGGCTCTGGAGCTCAGAATACATGTCTAAGCTAAAGATACAAATTCTGGAGAAAGCACAAGGTGTAAAGAAAAGTACTGAACACACATCTAGGGACACCGAACTGCAGCAGAACCTGCCTGAGCAATCAGAGGGGAAACCAGGAAAGCGTTACCACCACACAGCCTAGGGAGCAAGAGTTACGTGGAAAGTTACTCCTCTCTTTTCCAGGTCCACTCTTTCTTCGAAACCTTCAAAAACGTCTCATGAGTCCCTCGTTCTCCAAACGCACACTAAGGGAAAGGTGCAGGGAGCGCGGTGGAGCCCGGCAGTCGAAGGTCGTCTGGGGGTGGCTTCCCTCCGGCCCTACCGGGAGGGGCCACGCCGAGAACGAAAAGGCCCAGACCAAGGCCCGGACCACCGGTCCCCGTCAGGCCCAGTTCTTTCAAGGGCCGCAAAGCCCCACTCGCAGGCAGCTAGTGAGGTCGGAGGTGACCACGCAGGAGTCGGTGGCGAGCTGGCGGAGGGTGAGGGGATACTCACCATATCTGCTACGCGGTGCCGACAGCAACACCAAAGCCCTCCCACCGCGCAGGAGGCTGGCTCGGAAGTGGTTCCGTCGGAGGGCGGGATTTGGGAAGGCCGACTACCTTTCCCATCATGCCCTGCGGTGTGCGTCACGGCGCGTACCACCACGCCAGATCTCGCGGGGGGATAACGGGGCGGGGAACGGAAGTCCTAACGAAAGATGGATGCAGGTCCTCCGCACCCTCTTGACGTCTTTCTGTCTGTGTCTTCCTCGATCCGGATGCGAACCCTCCACCTAGCCTCCCGCAACGTTCTTTCTCGGAATGGATTCTCCCGTAGCCGGGGCAACGCGCGGCAGACGGTCTCCGTGGCTCCGCGAGCGTGCGGACAGGCTGCGGGCGAGGTACAGCTCGGGAATCGCTCGCGCGGCGGCTGCTTCGTGGCGCTGGTCGCTTCTGCAGCCAGGCTCGGACTGGAGCTGGGACAATCTGATCTCTGATCTTTGTACCCTTCTCCGAAGTGACTTGGTACTCGCAGCCATCAGGTACTGTCTTTAGGATACCTGGCTACTCTGAACCTCCGTTTCCTTAATGGGACATCATTTCCCCCGGAAGTTTTCTGTCCCTCCTTCATCCCCTTAGGGCACTTTATCCATAACTTTGGAAGGGTACTTGCCATGTTCCACGATGTTATACTTTATTGTCTTCTTTAAAAGTATAAGCTCCCTAACAGCAGTGTCTATGCCTTTTAGAATCTCAGTTTTATAACTTCTACCAGCAGGCTCTACTCAATGGAGGGTTTTGCAAAACGTTAAATAAATGAATCAAATATTTTGCCAGTGCTGCTCAAAAAAAGTTAAGTACTGGAAGAATTCAAGGCAAAAACTCCCCTTTTGTTCCCTTTACTTTCTTCCCTCTGTGTCACACTTCGTTGGGTGGTTCCTGTCTTCCTGGAGCCACAGTTTAGTGAGGGAAAACAGCAGTTAATTCAAGATCCCTACAAGGTGAATGTAAAATAACCCAATATAAAATAAACATCCATGATCAGGGCTTGGAGAGGGAAGTACCTGGCGCTATGATGGAGTGAATTAAGCAAGTGAAGAATGAGCTAAACAATCAGAAGGATCAGTATTTATTGAGGAAAGAAAGGGGTAGGCACAGTGAAGTACCTGCCGAAAGTGAAACAGTGTGTGCCAGTGTCCTGTGGTTGGAGAGAGGCCGACTTGAGCACTGAAGACAATTGGATCTTAGGTTCCAGGGAGAGGGGTTCCCACGGTGACAGATGAGGGTGATAGTGGCCTTCTGAGCCATTTAAAGCATTTGAGCCCCTGTAGCAGCACAGAAAGACTTTAAGGTTGCAGTGGAGATGGAGCCTTGAATCATGGAACAAATCGAATTAGTGCCCTCCAACTGACTGGCTTTTAGTTTTAAAGCATAGGTGATCAGAGGTAGGATGGCAAGGAAGAGGAGAGGATGAGCCACAGATTCAAATAGACAATCCTGTTATTGTCATTGAAACAGCCTGCTCTAAATTCAAGCCAGAAGTTTACCTTGGATTATAAACTGGGAAGTGTAAGCCAATGTTTGTTTTATTCAGCAACTTATGCGTCCAGTACCTAGATCTAGTTGGTGCTTCAAAAATGTTACCATGAAATGGAGGCAAGTATTCTTAGCTCTTTGGTCCAACTTTTTAGAACATGTCTAATTAAAGGAAACATCCGAATACGTAGTTGCGTATTTAGAGTGATATTTCAAGAACTCATAGTTGCAGTCTGCTCTTTAGCAAATACTCTGAATTCCTTGTGGGTTTTTGTTTTGCTGTTCTTCGTGTTTATCTTGCTTAGTCAGTTGTCCCCCCTTCCTATCCCTGTTGTGAACTGATTTCACCAAGTGGCACATTTGTTATATACATTTAAACTTGAAAAAATTCAAGAACTATAGGGTAATGCCTAGGTGTGTTGTGCATTCTGTAAAAGTAAGTCGTAATTTTTAATACAAGGGACAATGTAGTATGTTTAGATAGAAGGGTTTAAACTAAAAATGACAGCCTTATATAATTAAGATCTTTCAGTCAACTTTGAACTTCTCAAAAGAAGGATGTTGTTTATACAGTATTTATACCACACTGTACCATCATAATATTACTATTTGTGACAGATGAACGGCAGTGCCGCAGATAAACATTTCTTTGTAATTTGTGGATACTTCAGCTGGAGACTGAAGGGGAGGAATAATCTCCATTATTCCCCCTCGGCCCCACAAAGTAGATTCTTCCCCCATATAGTTGGGACTATTGTTTTATGATGGAGCTATGTGCATGTTAACTCTCAGACTGAAAATATTTTGGGTTGAAAGTTAGAATCAGCTTTTCTGTAAATTTTCTCCTGTATTTTTCAGCGTAGAGTAGAATTTTGCTATAGAAGTAGCACTAAGAAGCCCGCTGAAGTCACCAACATTGAGCACACGGCCCCCAAGGAGCAGCCATGCCTGTGGAAGGAGGGAAAACTGATATGGAGAGGATTGGCCTCTTCAGTGAGATGGAATATATTACTGTGGGCGATAAATATGTGTCACAGTTTAATCGTAAGTATAATATGGTTTTCTTTACAGCCTAAGAGTGGATATTTCCTCTTGATTTTAATGTTTGTTAAATGATCTTTTTGAATGGTCTGTATTTTACTTTTTTTTTCCATTTATTTTTATTAGTTGGAGGCTAATTACTTTACATCATTGCAGTGGTTTTTGTCATACATTGAAATGAATTAGCCATGGATTTACATGTATTCCCCATCCCGGTCCCCCCTCCCACTTCCCTCTCACCCGATCCCTCTGGGTCTTCCCAGTGCACCAGGCCTGAGCACTTGTCTCATGCACCCAACCTGGGCTGGTGATCTGTTTCACCCTAGATAATATACATGTTTCGATGCTGTTCTCTTGAAACATCCCACCCTCGCCTTCTCCCACAGAGTCCACAAGTCTGTTCTATACATCTGAGTCTCTTTTTCTGTTTTGCATATAGGGTTATCGTTACCATCTTTCTAAATTCCATATATATGTGTTAGTATACTGTAATGGTCTTTATCTTTCTGGCTTACTTCGCTCTGTATAATGGGCTCCAGTTTCATCCATCTCATTAGAACTGATTCAAATGAATTCTTTTTAATGACTGAGTAATGTTTCATAGTGTATATGTACCACAGCTTCCTCATCCATTCGTCTGCTGTTGGGCATCTAGGTTGCTTCCATGTCCTGGCTATTATAAACAGTGCTGCGATGAACATTGGGGTACACGTGTCTCTTTCAGATCTGGTTTCCTCGGTGTGTATGCCCAGAAGTGGGATTGCTGGGTCATATGGCAGTTCTGTTTCCAGCTTTTTAAGAAATCTCCACACTGTTTTCCATAGTGGCTGTACTAATTTGCATTCCCACCAACAGTGTAAGAGGGTTCCCTTTTCTCCACACCCTCTCCAGCATTTATTGCTTGTAGACTTTTGGATAGCAGCCATCCTGACTGGCATGTAATGGTACCTCATTGCGGTTTTGATTTGAATTTCTCTGATAATGAGTGATGTTGAGCATCTTTTCATGTGTTTTTTTGCCATCTGTATGTTTTCCTTGGAGAAATGTCTGTTTAGTTCTTTGGCCCATTTTTTGATTGGGTCATTTATTTTTCTGGAGTTGAGCTGGAGGAGTTGCTTGTATATTTTTGAGATTAATCCTTTGTCTGTTGCTTTGTTTGCTATTATTTTCTCCCAATCTGAGGGCTGTCTTTTCACCTTGCTTATAGTTTCCTTTGTTGTGCAAAAGCTTTTTAAGTTTCATTAGGTCCCATTTGTTTATTTTTGATTTTGTTTCTAAAATTCTGGGATGTGGGTCATAGAGGATCCTGCTGTGATTTATGTCGGAGAGTGTTTTGCCTATGTTTTCCTCTAGGAGTTTTATAGTTTCTGGTCTTACATTTAGATCTTTAATCCATTTTGAGTTTATTTTTGTGTGGTGTTAGAAAGTGTTCTAGTTTCATTCTTTTACAGGTGGTTGACCAGTTTTCCCAGCACCACTTGTTAAAGAGGTTGTCTTTTTTCCATTGTATATCCTTGCCTCCTTTGTCGAAGATAAGGTGACCAGAGGTTCGTGGATTTATCTCTGGGCTTTCTATTCTGTTCCATTGATCTATATTTCTGTCTTTTTGCCAGTGAATGGTCTGTATTTTAAAGCTTTAGGTATAAAGTTGAAAACACCTGTGAAATTTCAACAGCGGTAAGAGAGAGTTTTTTTTTTGTAAGATCAGGAAGCTCATTTTCTTCCACTATCCTACTTTCATATATTCTCCTCATAGGTATTTGTATTTGTTTTCAAGGTGCATATCAGTTTTCTCCCAGAATATTTATATTGTTTGTTGTTGTCTAGTCGTTAAGGTTGTGTTCAACTCTTGCAAGCCCATGGACTGTAGCCCTCGAGGCTCCTCTGTCCATGGGATTTCTCAGACAAGAATACTGGAGTGAGTTGCCATTTACTTCTCCAGGGAATCTTCTGGACTCAGGAATCGCCCCAATCTCCTGTCGCTCCTGCATTGGCAGGCAGATTCTTTACCACTGGCGCCCCACCTGGAAAGCCCAGAAAGGGAATCACAACCACGGAGGGACTGAACCATTGGCTTTTTTTTTTCTTAGTTGAGATACCCTACTATACAAATAGCATTTACATTTACATCTAAAATGGCCATCCGTGATCACTTTCTTGAAAATGAAGTGCCAAACAAATACCTGAGAGATTTTTAGAAGAGTCATAAATAAAACAATAAAAAAGAATACACTGATACGGAACATCTCTAAGATAAATTATGAAAAAGGCAAGATGCAAAACAGTTTCCTATGGGAAAGTATTGGATTCAGTGACCTGTAAGGCCTCTTCCAGCTCTCAGATTCAGAGTTTAAGAGGATCTCAATCTAATTATTAAAATGTTTTAATGGGAATGCCTTAGTTCTTATTGTCAGTGAAGCCTTTGATACGGATCTTTCAGTGACCATTTTGAAACAGCATTTAAGATCTCAAAACTCATTGGCTCAAATCACGTTTTAAAACTTTTCTCTGTTGCCCTGGTGTTCTAGTGGCAAGGATCAGGAAAGTTTTCTGTTATTTTTCATGTCCTTTTATTAGTGGTGAGCTCAAAATTGTGATATTCCTATTTTATCTTTAAAGGACCCTTTAATGAAGCTGCAAGCAAAAATAAACAGATTCTACCTGGGGGATCCAAAGAAATGTCCAATCTCCAGGCAGGTTATTTTGATCCCCATTTTGTAAGGATTTTTGAAGGTGAAGGCTATGTCAATCCAAATCAAGTGAGGAGACGGCACATGATAGAAGAAGCCAAAAAAAATCTAAGCAAAGCCTTCCTCCCTAGCAGTGGAGAGAAAAAACCGTAAGTATTAAGGAGAAAATCTTAAATCCATCTCTTGCATCACTCTCTTTCCTCCAGCCTGAGTTGTTGATTTTTCTGTCGGGACTGACTTATGTATGACTCATTTTTTAAAGTGTGACTTTTAGTTTGAGTTTATCTTAGATGGAGACAATTATATTGGGTGATTTAAGTTGCGGGGTAATTGATTAAGTAGATTCTCATTGTCACATTAAATTTTTAATCATCTATGTCACTATTCTCTATCAGTTTATACTAATAAAGCTAATTAAATAATGAAAGTAAGTTTTAGTTGAAAATCTTAGAATAGTCAGACTAGAAAAAAAAATTGCCTTGGGTCATCATGTCTGTGGCCTTGACTATTTTTTCTGCTTTTTAAAGCTTTAAAAAAGTATAAATAAAAAATGTGAAATTAGGAGAAATCTTTTAATCATTTTTGGGTAAAAAGGATAATTTATCGAAGGTACATTGTTTAAAAATCATGATGAAGTTACATGTAGGGAAACAGTATTTTAGTTGTAAAAATTGTCAGGATGAGTTTCTTTTTTTTTGAACCTTTAAATCCTTAAACAGATAAAATGATATAATCTATGTGATTATAATATAGCTGAGTTTTATAATATGTTAATTCACACTCAGTAACATTGACTCAATCTAGAGTTTATGACAGATGAGGATGGGTTGAAAAATAATTTTGTGCTTATTTGCGATTTTGAGATTAGTAAAGCTTCAGTCTTCCAAGTTAAATTGTCTTTATTAAGAGTGGAGAATGTCTTCTTTTCTGTTATTATGGTTTAATCTTTTCCTACCTTTTTGTATACTTTGGAGAAGTTTGAACTATTTATTATTACTTATATTAATTTATATTATTTATATTATTATATATTTATTATTATTACTACTACTTTTTTTTGGGTTTCTTACTTTTCTTCTTAGATGTAAATTCCCATGTGTATCTTTGGGGCTGGTGCTTTTTTCTTTTTCATGTAACATGTGTATTTTATCCTTTAAACAACTTTTTTCCTATTCAACTTTCCCATCCCCTGGAACTAATATAATATTGTCAATAAACTATGCTTAAATAAAAACTAATTTTAGAAAAAACATAGTAGAAGAACACACAGAAGTGTCTATTTATTCTTATGGTTAACTGAACTAATGTAAACTCTTCTAACCTCCTGGAGATTGCTATGTTTTGTTTATGCAGAACATTTAAAATGGAATTTTTAACTTTGAATAATAGGGAAAATTAGATTAAAAAAATAACAAAAAAAAAAAGTTTTTTTTTCCTTACCAAAGTTAGGCACATCAAATCTACTGCATATATTTTGCTCCTCTTTCGATGATATTTTATAAATTTTGGTAAAATACATATAACACAAAGTTCACTATTTTACCTTGCTTCTCTTTGTTCTTGTTACACTTATTTAAGCTGTGGATTAGGAAGTTACTATGGAACCATAGGTGGACCAGTCCCATTTTTCAGTGCACAGTCTAAACCCAAAGAAAAATATGAGCCACCTGGAAAGAATTTATACACAAACCCAGGAAAGAAAGGAACTGGATATGGGTAAGATATTTCAGTACTTTCATATCATTTGTTTTGAATTTAAAAAATTTAATTTCTGAACCCTGAAGTCATCATCATTATTTTCCTTCCGTAGCTATGCAAATATTACCATAGGTAAGCAGTTTTCACACTCTTCTGATCTCTATGATGCGGCAAAACTAATTAACAAGGTAAAAGAATCTCTTGTAACTTCTTTCAATCTTTCTCTTATTTAGTTGACTTAGAGAATTCACTTGTGATCCAATTAGGGTTTATTTTGTTTTACCTATTTGTATTATGTGGGCAATGGCAGATGTTTAGAAATTGTGATAATTTTACCATTTTGACTTTAGATTCCCTGGATGAGCTTTAATTCCTGCTATAGTTTATCTTCCATCTCTCTAAACTAGCTGTGAGACTTCTGTCTGCATGGCCTGATTAACTCTGCTCTATTTTGATTCTAAGCATTGTATCCTAATCCTTAGCTGTATTCCCAACACACCCTAATATTTTGTGCCTAAGAAAGTAGTGGTAGTCCTTTTGGGCTGATCAGGCCATTATGGTGAGTAAACAGAATGGAAGAGTGTTGGGGAGAAGGGAGGAAGTGGAGACTAGAGAAGGATACAAGTTTTTAAATTTTTGTTTTTTTCAGCATGCAGTCTTCAATACTTTTGACTGTGGTGACTTTAAATGGCAGTGAGATAGATGGAGGAGGGCATGGCAACCCACTCCAATATTCTTGCCTGAAGAATCCCATGGATAGAGGAGCCTAGCGGGCTATAACCCATAGGGTCGCACAGAGTCAGACATGACTGAAGTGACTTAGCACGCATGCGTGCACGCACGAGATAGAAGGATAGCTGCCAATTTTTCAAATGGGCATGTCCAAACCCAGAAAAAGTTTTCTATTAAATTGAGCAGAAACCTTGGTCATTTGAAAATAGTCATCTTTTGTTTCTGTGTATGAACTCTTCACTTTATATAAAATTCTATGTAAACTACTTTTTACATAGGATAGAATAATACATAATATTCTATAGGAATGATAATATCTAATATATAAATACATACAAGGCAGTTTTTTTTTTTTTACAAGGCAGCTTTATCAATAGCTTAGTAATTGGTCTTTCATCCTAAGTTTATGGATATAAGATACTTTCCTCTCTGTAGAATAAAACATTTTCATTCTGCATTTAGAACTATTCATAATAGTTCTTATGAGTAGAACTTACTATTCATAAGTCAGAAATTTTATGTCCCTGAATTTATGTCCAAAAAAATTTTATGTCCATAAAATTGTTGTAATGTAAAAAGTAAGTGTTCCTTGTTCTTAGGAGAAAAGCTGACATTTTTTTGAAGGCCTACCATGTGCCAGGTACTTTGAACACATAATCGTGTTTAATCTTTATCATAGCATAAAGGGTCTGGGGGATGTTATGATCATCATTTATCGTTGAAGAAAATGTGACACTTAAAGGGTCAGTAGCCTTCCCAGTGTCCCTGGGAAATGCTGGAAAGCGGGAATGAGTTAGGGTTTGAGCTAGAAACTGACTTTTATTTTTAATGCATTTTATCATATTATAGATAGTTAATAAAGATTTGCTCAAGTGATATATCTATATATATATCAAATAAATTTATATTCAAGATGAACAATCATAGCTGTGCTTTTTCCTAAGCAAGCATTTCTTTTGTATCATAAAAATAGAACATAACAAAGGAATGTTTTAAAAAAGTGAACCCAGCAGTATATACTTAAAAAATTTACATACTTATATTAAAATTTAAAGTTAAATTAACTTTACGTTACTTCCAGTGTTGAGTAAGTTTTGCCATCTAATGTAATTTCAAACTCCTTAATTTACAGAAAGAGAATGAAGAACACCATCGTTTACTCAAAGGGACAGCTTTCAAATTAAATCTTTACCCAAGGGAATATTTTGATGCCAATCCTTACATGTCTGAGGAACCTTTACCACCAATTAAAAAAGTAGAGAAGAAAGAAATAGTTGGAAACCCTTTTAAGCCCTCTTCTCCTGGTAAAAAGGTAAGTTAAAGTTTTTAAAATGAAAAAATATTAAGCATCATAAGGAAATGTTGCCTCTTGCTGTCATATTATTTTTTTTCCCATTTGTTTATATTCATGCCATGACTCATGGAACCTGTTTTGATGAAATTACGAAAAGTCATAGTGTGTGGATACCATAAGGAATAATGATGCCCTTATGAAATAATTATTACTCATCTCTAAAGTATTTTAATTTACAATGAATTTTCTAAGCACCTGTCTAGATCTTAGGTATAGTTTTTCTAAGTCAGACCATCTTTAGTTTTTGAAGGGTGATTAAAATGAACTGTCTCCCTTCTGCTGAGGTTTACAAGTGTGAATAAAAATCAAAATCTTTCTTACAGTTTATAGACTTAGTTTATACCTTGTTTTTTTTTTTTTTCTGTTAATTGTGTGTTCCTTTTACTTGCAGATGTTCTATTAAGACATTTGTCTTTTTCATATTGATCTGTAAGATCTTTTCATATATTAAGGATATTGTTTTATCATTTGTGTTGAAAATAATTTTTCTAGTCTGTTGAATCTTTGACTTTGGTTATAGTATTCTGTGCTGTTCAGAAATAGCAATAATGATTTATCATTAATATAAGCTTTATAATGATAAAATCATATAAAATAACGATTTTATCAGTCCTCTGTGCTGAGTTTATGTCATTCTCAGAATCTTTCCTTCCCAGCAATGTTAGTGAAATATGCATTCTTGATTTCTTTAACTAGTCTTATCCTTTTGCATTTAAATTTTCATCTGGAATATATTTTGATGGAAAGAACAAGGCAAGGATCCAGCTTTTATCTTTTTCAAAATTCAGTTTTATGGACAGAAGGATGCTTTAAGGGGAGGATGTGTTCCATATCTTGATTGCCTTTGTGGTTTCAAGGGTGTATCAGTTAGTTTAGTCGCTCAGTTGTGTCCGACTCTTTGCGACCCCATGGACTGCAGTATACCAGGCCTTCCTGTCTGTCACCAACTCCCGGAGTTTACCCAGACTCATGTCCATTGAGTCAGTGATGCCATCCAGCCATCTCATCCTCTGTCATCCCCTTTTCCTTCTGCCCTCAGTCTTTCCAAACATCAGGGTCTTTTCAAATGAGTCAGCTCTTCGCATCAGGTGGCCAAAGTATTGGAGTTTCAGCTTCAACATCAGTCTTCCAATGAACACCCAGAACTGATCTCCTTTAGGATGGACTGGCTGGATCTCCTTGCAGTCCAAGGGACTCTCAAGAGTCTTCTCCAACACCACAGTTCAAAAGCATCAATTCTTTGGTTCTCAGCTTTCTTCATAGTCCAACTCTCACATCTGTACATGACTACTGGAAAAACCACATCTGTCAAAACTCACAGAATCTGTAAACTTAAAATGGGTGCAGCTTATTATACTTAGACATAAGTTAAATTGTTTTTTAAAGAGCCAGTTGTTCCTGATCTCACAGATAGAATAATTAACACCCCTGTTTTGAAATGCCACTTTATCTAATCAAAATTCTCATTTTTAGTGTTTTTTCCCCCTGAATCTACATTCTATTTAATTGATGTTTATTTCTACCAGTACCAAACTACTTTTAATTATAATTGCATTTTAATATTGGGTGGTCTAGTCTCTTCTTATTATTCTTTAAATACGTTTATATGACTGTTTTCCAGTAGTTATTATGTAGAACTTTGGAATTATTTTGTGAAGTTGTGGTGAAAAAAGACCTTTGGTGTTTTGCTCTAAAATGAGATCTTTAGATTTTAGCTTGTATTAGGATTTTTATACTTTGAATCTTCTTATCTAGAATTAAGCTACTTACAGAAACCTTTGTCTTGTGGATTTTTATATTTTATTTCACGTAGATTTATGTATCATGTTTATTCTTATTTTAAGGTCCTGGTCAATAGTTTCTTTTCCCCATCAGTCCCCTTATATTATTTGTCTTATTAAAACATCTGATTTTTTTAAAGTAACTGGCACTTTATTAAATTTTATATTCTAATGGGTATTTCATTGATTCTCTTTGGATCTTTAGATACATGATTATATTATCTGCAAATAATTTTGCTCCTTCCTTTCCAGTATTTCTCTGTCTCATGTCATACTTGTGCCCAATGTTTAGACATAATATGGGGATCGTGGTAATAACCTCTAGCATTCATGTTTAAAAAAATAAGACTAAATCAGGAATGTTTGTAGAATTATGTTGAATGTTTTGGTATAATCTATCTAGATCATCTTTGTTTTTCTCCATTAACTTATTATAAGGTGAGTAAAAATAATATTTCTTGAAATGATTCTCACTTGTGTTGTGTTGTATTGTTTTGTATTAATCTTTAACTGTAATACTATGTTTTATTTGTTAATATTTTATTAAGTATTTTTGCATCAATTATTATAAGTGTTGTGACTGGTCTGTATTTTTTACATTCCTTGTTCTATTTTGATATAGGTAGATGCTAGCATCTTAAAGTAAGAGTTTAATAGCATCAAATATATCTTTTCCTTGAAAATTTAAAAGACTTCTCATAGTGAGTGTTCTCAGCTTAATTTCTTACATGATGTCCATCTATTTTCTGTAGGTGTCCTCTCTTTGAGTCACTTTGACAATATTTTTCTTTGAGAACCATTCATTTAATTCAGGTTTTCAAATGTGTCAATGTAGGGGTGTAAAAAAATATTATCTTACAGTTTTTTATATTCCATATATGTATAGATTTCTTCCACCTATTTCTCAATCTTTATAGTATAGATTTACCTGTTAATTTTTTAAGCATCATCTGGTGAGTTGGTTTACTTACCACATATATTTTTCCATTTTCTATTCATCTGTTTTGCTTTTACATCAGTTAACTAATCAATTGTATTTTCTTTAGATTCCTTATTACTTGTTGCTTTTAAAATAACCCATGTGTCTCAATCGTGATAACTTGAAAAATTACAACCATATCTTTCAAATGAATCACATTTTTTTGTATATCTGGCTTAGACACTGTAAGAGAAAGGATGCCTAATTAAATGGGTTATTGTGATTGAATAGAGTTTTCTTGGTGACCATATATAATATGAGGAAAATCCTGTTAATATGTATCAGTTTAAAAAGTCAAAGCAAATGTTTGTTTTGCATATAGGCCAAAAATGATTGACTTCTCTTAATAGATTATAAGAAAAGTACAATATATGATCCAGTTACTTCTCAGTATCTATGGGGGATTGGTTTCGAGACCACTGTCCCCTACCCCCAGAATACCAAAATTCAAGGATGTTCAGGTCCCTTACATAAAATGGCTTAGTATTTGCGTGTAACCTTTGCACATCCTCCTGTATAATATAAATCACCTCTAGACTACTTACAATATCTAATACAATGCGAATGCTATGTAAATAGTTTGCTGTGTATGTCAAGTTCAACTTTTCTTTGGGGGAACTTTCTGGAATTCTTCGTTTAAAGAGTATTTTCACCCTGAGATTGGATGAATCTGAGGATGCAGACCTTGCTGGTGTGGAGGACTGATTGTGGATTATGTTTGCCTCTCATTTTCTTTTTCTATGTGCTATTCCTTTATTTTTTTAAAAAAAATTTTTTTTCAGTATCTTCCCCATCATTTACTGATGTTTACTGAACTCGTGTTGTGCCAGACGTCCTTTTGGATAAACCTTACCCTTGACCTCACCTCTCGGCCTCTGGTTCTGAACGCTAACTTCTTCCTGTATCAAAATACATGTGACCTGGGTCTCACTCCCTCAGGAATGGACTCACATCCTGTGTAGTTCATAGCCTGATCTGATAAACTCACTAAAATATTAGCTGTTGGCAATAGTTTAGAATATTACCTTCTTATAACTATATGCATTTTAATAGAGAACTTTTGGAATTATAGTGTCTTAACCCATAAAATTAGTGGTAGGAAGACCCTTTGATGGTATTTGAATTAAACAGAATAAACAGTTTTCTTTAAATGTAAAATCAGCTCCATGTACAATACACAAATATATATGACCTTTTTCACATCTAATTTTTGTTAGGAGCATTTTGACAAAACTATATTAAATTGTCTCATTTTTACTTGTAGGCTGGTGGAATGAAGGCAGGAACATTTGATCCTTACCCTTCACATTCTGTTGACCCTTACATGGTTAAATTGAAAGGCCCATCCGGCAAAAGTGCTAAGGTTTTCCATCCACCAGGTGGACCAAAAAGCAGACCAGTTGAAAGCATAATGGCTTTGACCGTCAAAAGGTAGCAATATTAGCCCATAAATTATTTCCAGCTTTTAGATTTCTTCAGAGTAATATCTTTTATTTATATATACTTTTAAAATTTGACAAATCTGGGTGACTTTAGATATCTCAGTTTCTTCTTTATACCTGCCCTCCCCTGTAGAAGTTCTTTCCCATCTTCTGAAATTCCCAATTGAAAAAGCTTAATTTGTCTGTACCAAACAGATACAGGTTCTATCCCTGGGTTGGGAAGATCCCCTGGAGAAGGAAATGGCAGCCCACTCCAGTATTCTTGCCTGGAGAATCCCATGGACAGAGGAGCCTGGTGAGCTACAGTCCATAGGGTCACAAAGAGTCGGACATGACTGAAGTGACTTAGCATGCATACATGCATATATATATATATATATATATATAAATATATTTCACTTAGCAGTACATATTAACATTGTCTGTTTCTTAAAAGGATCTTTTGACTCATTAAATTATTATCTCTGTATAGGCCCCAGACTCTGTAATTGTGTGGACTCTTAATGACACTTATTTTGTCTTTAATTTTTAAATAATCCTCTATGAGAACTGGAAATATTCTGATTAATTAAGAATACTTTGAGGAACAGTGTATGTATATTATTCATGTATCATAAAACTCAAATCTTTCCTAGGTTTTGAGCACTCTCAAAACTGAAAAGTTCTTAGAAGTTCAGAATATAATTTAGAAAAGGACAGTCTGTCATTCTTTTTCTATGTGTGAAAGATTATAAATACTGAAGAATTCATTTGATTCCCTTTCTGCCTATTCACTGAAAAAGTTTTAATGCCAATCTGACTAACTTACGTATTTGTAACTTCATTGTAATCATACAATGGATTAGGAAAAGGACATCAAATTCATATTCCTTTTGTAGAAACAATAGTACATCTTTATCACTTGTGGATAGTGATTGTAAAAATATCATTATTATAATCACAAAAGTAAGGCTGCCCTTCATTATTTATATAGTTTAACTTATCTATAGGAATAATATTTTTTTGCAGGCTAGTTGGTAGAGGATTCATTTGGGAAACAAAGATGTGGAGCCTTTTTTCCATGTCCTTTGATCTTTATCCTTTGACAGCTGAACTGACAGTTAAGTTAGAATATTCCTCAACACACTCACACTCAAATAAATGGAATTTTGTGTGGTGTGGGGAGGAGTGTGGTTTCAAGTTTTCTGGTTATCCAGAGAACAGATCTGAGAAAATTCTATGATGCTATAGCACACATGTTTAAAGCAAAGGAAAAAAGTATCTGATTGTTCAGAAGTTTATCATTTGTTTAGTATTTTGAGTTTATTGAAATATCTTTTTTTTACATTATCACAAATATTATCTTAAATCAAGTTTTAGCTTCTTTTTTAGCCTAATTTTAAAACTATGGAAAGTAGTATTTAAAATTGGTCTCATAAACCAGTTTTTCCCTCTTAAATTACATTTTAAAAGTATATCTGATAATACGTGAAGCTTTTTTTTTTGGTGAGGAAATCTGGTTTTGTTTGGATTGTTAACTTTTAATTACAAGATATTTTTTTACAAGAATATACAGATCTATTACCTGCATCTATAAAATTAAATGTGCATTTATTTTCCAATTTTAGGGCACTAAATACGAAGAACTACAAGACTGCTTCAGTACAGTCCTACTAACATCTGGAAGACAAATAACCTTACACGTCCTGACTTCCAAAAATTCACTATCAAGTGCTCATTATTTGAAAAAATATATAAGATGTGTGGAACAAATAGCTCAAACATTTAAAAGAAATTTAAGGCTGTGACTAATGCTTTTCCTTCTTTTCATACTATTACATCAATAAATGACTAGTATTTGTTAATAATTGCTATGTTTCTTGATCTGTGTTTCTGAGGAGATGTTTAGGAATGTTTGAAACTGTTATAAAATCTCAAAGTGTACTCTTTCATTTGACACATTTTGCTCTTAACATTAAAAATATTGCTGAGTTGGAGGGTAGGGGTGAAAATGGGGACTGGAGGGGTAGAACGTGGACAGTGAATGCTTATTTTTCTATTAAGTGGTATCGTTTTTCTGTTTTTTTTTTTTAAGATTAATTTTTATTGGAGTATAGTTGCTTTACAGTAAATTCTTAATTTGCTGTTCCTTCTTGGAGGTATTTGGAGGTTGAGTTGACAGCTATCCAGGTGTCTCGGTCCATTAAAGCATTCTTAACATCAGGGAAGTACAGATCCAGTCTTATTGAATAGATTCTCGTATACATGCGTTGTATAGTGAGGCAGATTGCTCAGTTAATGTGGTATGGTGCCTTCTATTTATAGCCTGTGTAAAGCATCAGATCTGCCAGTGGCAGCCCCAGGCTGAGCAGGGTTGGTGGCGGTGTGGGGTGTGTGTGGGGGATGGAAGAGTGGGGAATGCACTTTCAATTCAGTATCTTACAAAAACTGGCCAGGTTTCAGGATGGATGAAGCTGGCCCTTGGCGTCCTCTCATTCTCCCCTGTAGCTGCCTCTCTAGGTCTTATCCTCTTCCTTCCCATGTTACCTCTTCACTGGCCCTATCACTTTAAAAAATCTGCTAAAAGATGTGATTTAAATACATTCCCATAGCTCATAGTGAGGTATCTCTCAATAGTTCTCATTCAGTCGGGGTGGGGTAGTGGTGGTATTTTAAAAGGGAAGTTTACAGTATCTATTAATTAAACTGTGGTGTTGGAGAAGACTCTTGAGAGTTCCTTGGGCTGCAAGGAGGCCAAAGTCAATCCTAAAGGAAATCGGTCCTGAATGTTCATCGGAAGGACTGATGCTGAAGCTGAAGCCCCAATACTTTGGCCACTTGATGTGAAGAACTGACTCATTTGAAAACACCCTGATGCTGGGAAAGATTGAAGGCAGGAGGAGAGGGGAGGAGAGAGGATGAGATGGTTGGATGGCATCACTGACTTGATGAACGTGAGTTTGAGTTAAGCTCCAGGAGTTGGTGATGGGCAGGGAAGCCTGGCGTGCTGCAGTTCATGGGGTCACAAAGAGTCAGACACAACGGAGTGGCTGAACTGAACTGATTAGTATAATGTGTTGGGGGAGTTATTTTTGATTCATGGTTTTTTTCTTAGTACTTGTCCCTCTGCCATTCTAGGCCTCCCAGAGCTGAAAATCAGAATGTGTAGAGGCTGCAGTGCTCTGCTTCTAGACCCGATTTTTTCCAATGATGGAGAAGCCAGGTCAATCCAGATACACATGTGACTTTTGAAGGGATTCAGAGGGCACAGAGAAGTTTTCCTGTTGTCAAATGTATATTTTTATTTCATGCCTCATCACTGTTTACTTTTTTTCTAAGAGAATAAATTTTTAAAGAAGACTGAAAAAGTTTTCTAAAGGAATATTTAAGATTTTTATTTCCTATCCAAAGGACAGTGTGGAATGAACATCCCAAAGACAGTATCAGGGGTATCATGAGCCTCAAAGGGGAATAGTTTGTCTCAGAGTAGCTGAGGTTTTTCCAGGTGGACATAAATGAATAAAAATTCATTTAGTTACATAGTGATAAATGTCACCAAACAAGTCCAGGCTGGGGCGTTCGCACCTCTCTGCATTCAGCGGTGGCTCCAGAGCTTCTAGGGTAGGCTAGAGACTACTCTGCACCCACCCTAATGAAAGTCTAAAAAACCAGGCTCAAGAGGATCTGACTGAAAGAGAAGCAAGCACAGCCAGTTCCAACAGAAGTAAGGACAACCAGGTCCAACCATCTGTAAAGGAAGACGCCAAACTCAGATGCTCAACAATGTAAAATTCACAAAAATCCGGGTTTCGCTGGTGGCTCGGTGGTGAAGAATCCACCTGGCAATATAGAGACACAGTTTCGCGCTCTGATCCGGGAAGATCTCACATGCCATGGAGCTTCTGAGCCTGCGTGGTTCACAACTACTGAGCCTGCGCCCTAGAGCCCGCGAGCAGCAACCGCTGAAACCTACATGCTGGAGTTGCCTGCTCACCGCAGCTAGAGGAAAGCAGCAAAGACCCAGCACGGCCAAAAACAAACAAGTGAATACAATTACTTTTTTAAAAAAAATCCATCTTCCAGTTTGAAACAAAAAACAGCTGCTAGACGTGCCAGGAAGCAGGAAAATGTAACCCACAACTGGGAGAAAAATCAGTCAACAGAAATAAACCCCATAATGGTAGAGAAGATGGAATTAGCAAATAAAGACATTAAAATGGCTATTTGACCTGTTATTGTATTTAAAGGAAAAGCTCAGAGTTTTCTCTTAGAATAACCACTGTGTGACTTTTTTCATTCTGCCTGTAGGAACTGGGAGAACCCATGGGAAAGTGCTGTTCCTCTTGCTACTGCTGTTGCTGTAAGCAACCAGCTCCTTTGTCTCTGACTCAGGATTCCTACATTTTCCACTGGAACCCGTGACACTGGAACCCACTAACTCATTAGCTTACAAACTGGATAAAGTCTCAGGTGTTTATAGTTCTTGACAGCATGAGATAATATACCTAATTCCAATTTCTAATTAAAAAATAGCCCAATCAATTATAAGGTAATTGTGATCAGATGTGGAGGTCAATTTAAAACTTTTTGTTGAAAAAAGTACTCGGATGAAAGATTTTGAAATGTTTTCAGAAATTTATTTACATGTCTTGGATGGAAGCAATTGATACAGTTTACTCGGAGTTCCTGGGAGGAAAAAGAGAAGAATTTTTGAAATAATGGGACTGCTATGTGTACCGTGGAAAAATAATAATTGAAAAAAAATTTCCTGCTTGCTACCAAAGTTGCTTTAGCCATATACAATATATAGAAGTACTATAAATAAAATAACACATCTCATCAAAGGACCAAAATCTCTAAGAAATTCCACTATGTAATGAATTGGATACAAATCTTACAAAAATAATGTTCACCTTCTTATTACTGTCCTCTGGCTAAACCTGATAGACAAAAGAAATCTTAAACACATTTCTATGAATCCACCAATCTAATCTAATACATACCTTTCAAACCTAGGGCTAAAGGCCTATTCCCAGGACTAGAGGTGTCTTCATAAATATCATAGATGTCAAAATGGAATTTATCTTTCCTTGAAACGTGACCCGTTTTTGAGAGATCAATATGGTGACTGCAGATTTTTTCACTTAGATTTGAATATTCTCTTTGAAGATTCCGCATCTCAAATTCCAAGGTGTCCCTTTCATTCTCTATACTCCTTACGTAGTTTTCTAAGAGTACTTTGTCTTCCTCAAGTCTACAGATGCTATTTTCAAATTTTATAGTTTCTTGACTATTTTTTTTTAGTTCTTCTTTTAGAAGCTGATTATCGGTCTTAATTTCCATTACCATTTTTGATAACAGTTCACATTCATTGCCCATTTCTGACAAACTATTCTTATAAATACTTGCTTCTGACTTTGCATTTTTTATTTCTTGCAGAAAATTCTCTTCCGCGGTAGATTGGTATGTTTGAATGTCCTCAATTTCTCTTGCCATCATCTCTCTCGCAGCAGTAGATTCTTGTAAGGTTGTTTCAAGATTAAGCTTTTCATTTTTAACCGTTTCTACTATCTGAAGAAGTGTCTCTTGTTCGATTTTTGCCAATCTTTCTTTCTCTTTTAGCTGTGCTGTCTCTAGATGGTTTTCTTTCAGTTCATTTTCCAGTGCACCTTTTTCCTTTAGAAGTAGATGTGTTTTTTTCTCTAACATTTCTTTTTCCTCTTTCATCAATAGAATATTTGTTTTCATTGATTCCATTTCTATGCTCAATCGTTTGTTTTCATTATTGACAATGGCCATATCACTTTGAGTTTTGTGTTCCTTACTTTTTAGTTGATCTAATGTTTCTATTATTTGTTGATTCTCCAAAGAAAGTTGACTGTTTTTTTCCTCGAGGGTTTTATTTTGTGCTTGGAGAACATTATAGTTACTAACTATTTTTTTCAATTCTTTAAGACACTCTTTGCCATCTTCTTCTGTTTTAGTTAACTTAGACTGGAGAGTATTCTTTTCTTCAACCAGTGTCTTAAGTTGCTTTTCATACATTTCAATTTTCTGTATCAGAGATTGTGTGGTAAAGACAAGAGGTTTAATTTTTGTTTTAAGGGTTAGGTTTTCATTCTCTAGTTTCATTACTTTTTTCTGTATTTGCATAGATTCTTTCAAGTAATTCTGTAAGTACTGAATTTTTGCTACACATTGCTCAGTAACAGAATTGACTTTGGATGTTTTCTCATTTTCAACTATTATTGATCCTTGTTTTACTGTAAATGGTTGTTTTTCTTTGTCTTTCATTTCATATTTTGTTGGGTGAAAGCATGCCAATGTATATCTCGGGACTCTGGAATGGAGTTTTAAATCTGCAATATTCTTGTCAGTGATAGGAATTTCTTTATTGTTTTTCTCATTCCTTTTTCCCCTGTGTATTTCACTCCTAGATAATTTTTTACATTTCCTACAAAAATTCACATGGAATTTTGACACTGTTTCCCTAAGTGGGAGCAATTTGTTTACTAATGCCTCTAATTCCAAAATTCTCTTTGATTTTATATCTTCACTTAAGTTACTTTTAATATTTTCTTCCTTAATAAAGTTGTTTTTTTCCTTGTGAATAGAGGGCAGGTCATAATTACTGTGCCTTGGAACAGCTTTTAAAGTCTGCAGTTCGTTTGTAAGTG